GCGGACCATTCCTGCCCATGTCACCAAGCAATACAATGGAACTTAGCTACATCCGCATGTAGGCAATTTTTGTGGGTGAAGGCATATGCAACGAGTCATGTCTAGCTAGGCTTTAAAGACAGGTTCAATCTAGGTACAGAAAACAAATTATGATATAACATTAGAGGATCAGCATTAAATACAAGTTGCAAATGTCCCTGTGAGGCCATTATCTGTGGTGAAAAAAAAAATAAATAAATAAATAAATAAATAAATAAATAAAATAAAAAAATAAATAAAAATAAAAAAAAATTTGGAGGTCTCCCCTCGTCCATGTGCGGCTGGTTTTAAAATCGCCGTTCTCCGTTTATGTAGTTACCGCTACGTATGGGTCGGGTGTTAGTCCCTGGGGTATGAATGGGACTGTTCTCGTCGGGTCCCAGGTGTGCTGTGGTGAGTTGATGCCTTGTTGGGCTACTTGGTTGAGTGAGTCCGGAGGTAGGCCCAAGGCCTGCAGTAGCTGCGCTGCGTCGGCTGGGTCCTGTAGCTTGTGGGATTCCGTTCCCTGCTGTACAACGAGCGTATGGGAAGGCCGCCAGTTGTATTGGAGGTCATGACTTCGGAGTAGTGCGGTGAGTGGCTGGAAGGAGCGTCGCCATGCCAGGGTCTCGTTCGAGAGGTCAGTGAAGAAGTTTAGTGTCATGTTGTTGAATTGGAGGGGTGCCTTCCCCCTAATGGCTTTAAGGATTGTCGTTTTGTCCTGGGTGTTGCGAAAGGTAATAATTAAGTCCCTGGTGGCCGTGGTCGGCGCTCTAGGTGGCTTGGGGATCCTGAAGATGCGTTCAGGGCTAATGCTATGGACGTGTGAGGGCGCCAGTATGTCGGCGAGCAATTGCTTGACTAGCCGCGGGAGCTCTGCATCGGGTGTTGCTTCCGAGACCCCACGTACCTTCAGGTTGGTTCTCCGCCTAGCGTCCTCGTATTCCGCGAGGCGGAGTTCGTGTCTGCGCTGTTTTGTTTGCAGGTCACTTACAGCCCGCTGAAGTTCCCCAATAGCCTTGGTGTTGGTTGTGGATGTCTTTTCGAGGGCACCCATGCGGGTCGTCAGGCCCTTCAGGTCTCCTCGCACCGCTGTGATGTCCTTTTGCAGTGTTGTTTGGAGGTCATTGAGTAGTTGTTTTAAGACCGCTGTTGTTACCGGAGCTGAGTCCGGGTTGGGTTTGTGCTGCTGTGGGGGTTGTTCCGCTGCAAGCGTTGGTAGGTACTCCTCTCCAGATTCTTCTTCAGAGAAGTCTGAGCAGCCTCCGTGGAGCGCCGCCATATTGGATCCGCTTGGGCCTCGTGCCTGTCTCCACATATCCCCTATAGTAAGCCCCGAGGACGGCTTGTCCGTGGTTGTTTTTCTATTTTTCCGTCCCATTTTGCTGGGGACGCGCAGGGGGTCCGTTGAGCAGATGTTTTCCCCTGGTTTTCCCCTTCTAGCCCCGCTTGATGGCTTCTTGTAGCCGGCTTGTTGGTGCTGGGTATGTCAGGAGGGGGACCGGGATGACCCCCGCCGGTCCAGAGGGGGGGGGGGGGACAGCTTGGTGCTATGTGCACTCCGCCGGGAATAGGGCTCAGAGAGCGGCCGCCTCTCCTCTGCCCACGCTTGTGTAGGCCGCAAGCCTGAGCGGCAGCGTTTCAGTGCTAAAACAGTTGGATCTTGGTATCACTGGATGCACCGTCGTTCCCTTATCTGGGAAGTCGTCGGTGGCTGGTCGGTTTGGCGAGAGGCCCCGGTAATCCGTCGTTTATCGATCCCAGTCTCTGGAGCTCAGGCGATGCACGTCTGATCAGCTCTGCATCCAGGCTCCGCCCCCACAAGAGACTTTTGCATTGATTATTATGTTATTTGAGCATAGTGGATTTTATTAGACTGGTTCTGGCCCTTTAAATGCTCTGACAAAGGATCTGCAGTTTTTGCCTTGCCGACCGATGACGGTCCTGAACCGTCCAAACGGTCTGGGGCTACTTACCTGATCGCCGTCGTTCCCCCGGCGGCGATCAGTGTTCCTCCGGTTGTGGGGAGACTGCCTGCAGCCCAGACAGTCTCCCCACGGCAGATTAGGACCCCTGTGGCCATGTGATCGCTCAACACAGCGATCACATGGTCACAATAGGTGTCCATAGTGCTGCCTGCAGGGGGACTGCATGTACTGACAGGCAGTCTCCCTGCAACTGTAAAATCAGAAAAAAAAATTAAAGTTAATGGTAATAAAAAAAATAATAATAATTATATATGTATAAATATGATATATAGACATATATTATATCTATATAATATATGTCTATATATCATATATATAATGCCATACTAAGTGTATTTTTATATTAATATGTACTTATATTAATATAAAAATACACTTATAATTAAATTAAATTACACACGTATATATATAATATTATTATAAAATATAACTAATAAGTAATTTAAATTAAATAATTTTTTTTAAAAATAATAATAAAAAATTAAAAAAAAATTATATAGCTATATGAAATTTTATTCTAACTGTATTTTAAAATTAATATATATATATTTATATCAAAATACACTTAGAATGAATTTGTATATATATCTATGTATATAAAAATAAATAAAAGAAATATACATACGTCCATATACAAAATTACATAAATAATTATATAAATATACACGTAGACTTCAAATATATAAATATGCATATATATTTAAATTCTACGTGCGTATTTATGTAATATTTTTACATAATTCAGTAATTTTATTGATTGCAATTTGAGGGACCTACCTGCCAACCCAGGCCGAAATTCCAGAGAATTTAATTTGCTAGCACTGTATTTTACCCTGTAACGTTCTACGACACCCTAAAACCTGTACATGGGGGGTACTGTTTTACTCGGGAGACTTCGCTGAACACAAATATTAGTGATTCACAACAGTAAAACATATCACAGTGATGATATTGTCAGTGAAAGTTACTTTTTTTGCATTTTTCACACACAAACAGCACTTTTACTGATGATATAATTGTTGCGATACGTTTTCCAGTTTTAAACACTAATATTTGTGTTCAGCGATGTCTCCCGAGTAAAACAGTACCCCCCATGTACAGGTTTTATAGCATTTTTGAACGTTACAAGGTCAAATATATGGGTCAAATATTTTTACATTGAAAATGGCCAGGTTGGTTACGTTGCCTTTGAGAGCGTATGGTAGCCCAGGAATGAGAATTACCCCCATGATGGCATACCATTTGCAAAAGACAACCCAAGGTATTGCAAATGGGGTATGTCCAGTCTTTTTTAGTAACCACTTGGTCACAAACACTGGCCAAAATTAGCGTTCAATTTAGTTTTTTTACTTTTTTCACACACAAGCAAATATGAATGCTTACTTTGGCCAGTGTTTTCGACTAAGTGGCTACTAAAAAAGACTGGACATACCCCATATTGAATACCCTGGGTTGTCTACTTTAAAAATATGTACATGTGGGGTGTTATTCAGAGATTTATGACAGATAATAGTGTTACAATGTCACTATTGATAAATTTTAAAAATGTATGTTTTTAAACCGCAATATCCTACTTGTATCTATAGCCCTATAACATGCAAAAAAAAGCAAAAAAGCACGTAAACACTAGGTATTTTTAAACTCAGGACAAAATTTTGAATCTATTTAGCAGTTTTTTTCATTCGCTTTTGTAGATGAGTAAAAGATTTTTCAAGTAAAAGTCAAAATTTATTTTTCAATTTTTCATCATATTTTTTTATTTTTTTTAAATTAAAATACATGAGATTATATAAATAATGGTATGTAAAGAAAGCCCATTTTGTCCTGAAAAAAACAATATATAATTTGTATGGGAACAGTAAATGAGAAAGCGGAAAATTACAGCCAAACACAAACACCACAAAAGTGTAAAAATATTCCTGGTCGCAAATGTACAACATCGCAAAAACAGTCCAGTCCTTAAGGGGTTAAAAACCCTTAATAACTGTCATATTTTCAAACGCTGTCTGTCTTTAACTGTCAGTTTGTTTTCCTCTGAGGAGGAGTTGCTATGAGGTGAGTAAACGCTTGCTGCCTGCCCTCCCACAGCTCAGACAATGCCACTGGACCACCAGGAAATACTATATCCCCCCTCCCTGGCCAGGCAACAAGCAGGGGGGGGTGGGGGGGACAACAAAAATAAATAATAATTAAATATAAAAAATAAATAATTTAATAAAAAATGCCCCCTCACACACACACACTCCATTATATACACATACACTACACAAACACACTGCGTATATAATGCAGTGTGTTTGTATAGTGTGTGTGTGTTTGTATAATGTGTGTATATAATGCAGTGTGTTTGTGTAGTGTGTTTATATAATGCAGTGTGTGTATATAATGCAGTGTTTATATAATGCACACTACACAAACACACTACATTATATAAACACACTATACAAACACACTACATTATATAAACACACTATACAAACACACTACATTATATAAACACACTATACAAACACACTACATTATATAAACACACTATACAAACACACTACATTCATTATATACACACACTACACAAATACACACACACTCTGCATTCATTATATATACACACACACTACACAAACACACACTTTGCATTTAGTATATACAGCATTCACTTTACACACACACACTGCATTCACTTTACGCACACTACCCACACACTACGCTTTCATTATATACACACTGCATCCAAAACACACACACTACACAAACACACACTGCATACACTACACACACACTACACAAACACACACTGCATCCACTACTCACACTATACAAACACACACAGCTCCCCTGTCTAAACAAACTGCACCCACTACACGTGGCATGTATAGTTTGTGCATTTACCTTTAGAAATAGTTTTGATTTTCCAAAATGGTAAATGTACAGAATATCATCAAATTATATCGGCTATCGGTCTGAAAGTTCACAGAATATCGATATCGGCTCTAAAAAAATCAATATCGGTTGATCCCTTCTGAGTTCCCCCAGTCATGCAGCGGAGTGACCTCCAAGCTTCTCTAATGGTCATGTATACTTAAAGGAGCACTTGAGTCAACATATAAAAGAAAGAAAGACAGGTCCCTTAGCCTTCTTTCTTGCTTTTATATTAACTTCCCCCTAATAAAAAATATTTTCGAGTCCTTGTTATAGATCAAACTTACCTCCGTTCCAGCGCCTATATCCTCGACAGGCCGCACCCCCTTTTTCATCAAAATAATTAAGTAGCAGGGCTCAGACGCTTCTCTTAGAGAAGCGTCATAGCGATCTGGTGCGCACGCGTAGCTTCACGTTGCACCAATCACGTTCTTTATAGAGCGGCATTGAATGCCGCCCTATGAATGAACACTGAGCGCTCTACCGCGCACGTGCGCATTCGCGAGCTGAGCTGACTGACAGCTCAGCTCGCTGTCTATGCCCGTCCCCCTCCTACTGCAATCCCCAGCCCAAAGTATATAGTATATAAACACTATATATATATATATATATATATATATATATATATATATATATATATATAGTGTTTGTACACAAACTCACACATTGAAAATAAATATTGTTAAACATACACACTCTATTTCTATCAATCTCTTTCTACATATCCAATTCTATCTATCTATCTATGGCTATCTAATTCTATCTAACTCTATCTATCTATATCCATCTATTTCTCTCATCACCCACACTCACTCTCTCACCCTCACTCACAAAATAAGTTTACTAACGGTTTGGATCCTCCTGCTCGGTCTCCGGTCTTCTGCCAGTCAGCCACAGCCGCTGTGTGTGCAGGAGATCTTATCTCCCTACACTGTTGGCTCTGATTGCTGACAGGCTCTGGGGTTAACTACAGGACACAGGAGGCGCGTTCACAGTTCCTCCTGTCTACTGATATCACGTTTGATGTATTCACCCAAGCATGAAAACGGCAAACGTGATGAATGCGAATTAGGCAGTCTTGAACTCAGAAGTCGCTCTGGTGGCCATCTGAGTGACTGCCACTGGAGGTGTTCCTAAATTCCAAGGTAAACACTGTATTTTCTCAGAAAATACATTGTTTACATGAGAAAGGCTGCAGGGAGCTATTGTTCTCACCCGAACAACCTCATTAAGCTGAAGTCGTTCACTTGACTATAGTGTCCCTTTAAGCTGATATATCTAGATATTTAAGCTGTTAGATTAACTGAATGAGCACTATAGGTTAACCGGTTATATTATTGATTAAGTCCCTGCTGGACAATAAAGTTTGATGTGATTATTTACAATCAGTTTGTGTTTTCTTCTTTCTCAAATACTCAGTTCACTCATCCCGAACAGGGTTTTGGTGCCTGCCAATATCTTTGAAGACCTTAGGGTAATTGATTATTGCTTTTTGATATTGGTGCTTCATGAATTTAATGATTAGGCACAGCAATGATTCATGCTTCTTCCTCTAGACATACCGCTGATCCATTGGGCCGAAAAGTTCCAATTTTGTTTAATTGCTCCACAAAACAAAATCCCATAATTACTGTGGCTTATTTATATGATTTTGAGAATATTGGCACAAACTTTTCTTGTGCTTTTGGGTCACTAGTGGTGTACTTCTTAGAGTTCTGTCATGGAAACCTTCTTCGTTTGCTACATGTCTTACTGTGCTCACTGAAACCTCAGTGTCTGTGGCCACCAAGTCTTGCAGTGTTTTTTACAACCTGCCTTCTCAGAAATCTGGTTGCAGCCGATGATCGCTTCTTTTTCTGCCTCATCCAGGTAGTGTAACCACTGTTCTTTTAACTTGCAAATTTTGCTTCCAACGGTGTCTCTAAGAACATGCAATACCTTTACTATCTTTTTGTATCCTGTTCCTTGTTTGTGAAGGGCGATCTCTTCCCTTAACTTTCTGGACCATTCTTTTGACTTGACACTCAACAAACCCCTGGCCAGTTTAGGTATTTTAAATGTTCCAGCTCAAGCACACCTGGTGCAACTAATGAATCTACCTGTTTTTCATATTTGTGCTGTGTGTGGGATTCTGTCCAGGAGGTTGAATCATTTTGAGACTGGAGAAGTCATTATAAGTTGCATTTTCAGTTGAATTTGGGAAAACCACTTAAAGCATTTTCAATTGCTTTTGTTTTATTTGTTCATTGCAAACGGCTGAAAGTCTGCAGGTTTTTACAAAAAAAACAGATTTTCAAAGGGGGTTGAATAATTTCACAAGTTAGTTTGTAGTTCTGTGATACTTAAGGCTGTATAGAGACCAAACACCTTTTAGCACTGCTGCATATAAAATGCTAAGTTACATTAATGCACTCTTCTGAATTGCTATATTGACGAAACATTATTTGGCTTAACAAATTTAATCTCTATTGTAATCTAAACATATATTTGATTAAACTTTGGGGCAGCATGTGGAAATGTGATTAAGAAAATTTAATAATGCATGATCATTAAAAAAAATGCTTATTAAAAATGTATGTTTATTTTTTGGATCCTTTGCCTATGAAACAAAACAGAAAATATTGAATATACTGCTTGTGTGGTCCTAATACCAAACACAAGAATAAGGTTTCTTAATGCTTGCAACTAGCCTCTTTGTTTATTTTCTATTAAACAAATGCTCGGGGGAAAAAAAGTTATTAGTCTAAAGCATTGAACTCCGAGTCTATTGTATTCATACACATATCTAGTACTTGTTAGAATTCTGATTTTCCTCCAGCACAGTCTAAATTCTACACAGCATTGATTTAACTAATGGAATTGGAAATGGCAATTCTTAGGGCTACTGCCTCTAAACAGGGCTGGTGAATATATTTTTGGCTACAGAGGCAAAAATACCTTTTGCAAAATGCGTCTTCACCTATTAATTCAAATTTTTTATTAAAGTTTTAGAAATGTTTCAACAAGTTATAAATGAATAGATAAACATTCTATTCGGGGTAGGGAAGGTAAGGGGAACTTGGAAGAGGAAAGGTTATGTATCCATCTATGTCAGTAGCAAACAAAATGTTGTATATAAACAATAATAAAGTTTAACAATAAGCTTTTAAAAACCATACACTTTTTAAAATTTCTTCTTCCACTTTATCCCAATAACATTTCAGTTTTGTAAATGTGTGCATAGTTTTTCGTGTGCTTTATTACCCAAGATCAAATTAAAAACTTCTTTAAGTGACGGTACATTTTTGGATTTCCAATACCGTGGTAAGCATGAGGTGGCAGCAATCAGGATGTGGCCTATTATTATTTTATCTGAACTATTGATGGACTCAGGGAATTGTTTGAATAATACAAGTTCTGAGGTTAATTTAGTAATAGACTGAACTACTTTAAACCCTTAAGGACCAAACTTCTGTGTCCTTAAGGGGTTATCAATCAAGTAGTGAATCATTTTCCAGTATCTAGTTATTTTGGGACAATTCCACCATATATGAGCCATATTTCCCATACCCCCACAATCCTTCCAACAACGGTCAGAATACATATTGTTCATATTATGTAGTCTAGACGGAGCCAGATACCATCGATATAAAATTTTGTAATAATTTTCAAAATGAACAGTAGAGATTCCTTTTAGGGCTTTAAAGAAACTGAACCATTCCTCAAGCTCATATTGTGTTCCTAGCTCCATCTCCCATGACACCATATCTTTCAGTTTAACTTCAGGTTTTGTGTTGTAAAGAGTGACACATAGATATTGTACCCTTTCTGTTTGGTTCATATAAAAAAAAAAAAAACATTTTTTTTCCAGTGCTGATCTGACTTATCGTTTTTGTCAATGTCTGATATGGTAAATAGTTTTTTTTAATTTTTTTCGATAATCAACACACATTCAGATTCAGAGTCATTCATTAGTCCATACTTGAGTTTCAATTTCTCAAATGAAAGGATGGCATTGCCATGAAAAAAAGCTATCTAGGTTTGTTATAGAGTATTTTTTTCCATAATTCTGTATTCAAAGATTGTATATGGTTTTTCAACAGTTCAATTGGCATCGCTCTATACAATCTTGTAGTATGGCTATTATTTTTAAAAACAATATCCCAGGCCCTGAGCGTAGTTTTGGTTGATAGAAATAATTTATTAATTCTAGGTCTTTTTTCAGGACCCACCCATGCTATTTCCGTGAGTCTAAATGGGAGAATTTGTGACTCTTCCATATCCATCCATCTTGGCTTATTGCCTTGATTATTAATGCGTCTTCACCTGTGTGGCACTTAACCACTTTTTCAATTTCTCACCTCTTTTAGCCCATTTTGTGTTTCTTATCCCCTCTTTCGAACTTTACACCCTTTAGTGTACCTTATGCTCTTTTTTGTCCCATTGTGTGTCTTACACTCCTTTAGTGTACCTTATACCCAATGTTGTGTGCCTCTTACTCCCCCTCTAGCCCATACATAAACACAGAGGCGGACTGAGAGCCTTTGGGGCCCCCGGCCAATATTAGATCCAAGGCCCTTTGAAGGCTAAAAATATGTGCATTAAATAAATGTTAAATATAACTCATAATATGGCATTCCTTTGGATGTGTATATTGTGAAGACCTGTGTATCAATGTATGTTAGTATATGAAATGTGCTATCACCACAAAGGTAAATGTGTGGATAGTGTGATAAAGTATAATATATACTTATCCTAATAATAAACAGGACAGCCTCCCACTGATCACCTCCCAAATGGTGATCTCACATCAAAAAGGAATAGAAACAACAAAACATGGGAATTGGCTGTATAATCTAAAAGAGAACACAAAAACAAAACATAGTGTGATATTGTTATAAATTATATATGTGCGCTAATAATCTTTTGCACTCACAAGATTGAAGATGTAAATGCAGCAAAAAGGTGCCTCCCCCGATGCTGTTAGGGGGCTGTAAACCCACGCCTTGGTCTGTGTATACTCCTTTAAGAACCGGAATCCAGAAGATGGTGGTAAAAATATATTTGGCTTGATTTATAAATAAATGGTGAAAATACACCAATGAAATAAAAACAGAAATGGTTCTACGGGTTTTGTCCAAGTGCAATTGGACTTCCTCAGGAACCAAAGATCAATTTGTGTAACATCAGCATGCAAAAATTACATACAGCTTATCTTTACTGCAACAAGGCTTTTGCACAAGCTATACAGTGTTACATTGACACGGTCTATGTCATTGACAAAAAAAAAGAATAAAAAAAAAAAAAGAAATGACATACAGCAATAAAACAGCCTAACCCTCCCACCCTCAAGTCCTCTTAGTCCAGTGAGGGTGGGAGGGTTAGGCTGTTTTATTGCTGTGTCATTTTTGCATGCTGCTGTTACACAAATTGATCTTTGGTTCCTGAGGAAGTCCAAATGCACTTAGACGAAACATGTAGAACCATTTCTGTTTTTATTTCATTGGTGTATTTTCACCTTTTATTTATAAATCAAGCCGAATATATTTTTACCATCATCTTCTGGATTCCGGTTCTTAAATGAATATACACAGACCAAGGCGTGGGTTTACAGCCCCCCAACACCATCGGGGGAGGCACCCTTTGAATGCCTTTACATCTTCAATCTTGTGAGTGCAAAAGATTATTAGCACACACATATAATTTATAATAATATCACACTATGTTTTGTTTTTGTGTTCTCATTTAGATTATACAGCCAATTCCCATGTTTTGTTGTTTCTATTCCTATTTGATGTTTGTATTTGAGTCTATGTAAATGCACTTGTGCATGTCTGGATGACTACATGTGCTTTTTTGTATTTAGTGTCAATGTGAATGCATATGTGTATTGAGCATTCGTGTGTGTCTGCAAGTGCAGGGGTGTGGAATATTTTAAAAAATCTACTTGTCCAAGGGGGGTGACAGGTGACAGTGTGTGTGAGGGAGAGGGTGACAGGTTTCCTGTGTGTGGGAGGTGGCAGAGTGAAGAGGTGCCTAGTGGCAGAGTGAGGGAGGGGGTTAGTGGTGGCAGAGTGAGGGGGAGACACAGTGAGGGGGAGGGGGTGATTAGTGACAGAGTGAGGGAGGAGGTCACTAGTGAAAGAATGAGGGAGGGGGTAACTAGTGACAGAGAGACGGAGGGGGTGACTGGTCACAGAGTGAGGGAGTGATTCCTCATCTTCCCCTTGATTCCTGTGGTCTCTCCCCATCTTCCCCTTTTTATTTCCTACACCTCTCTCTGCTCCCTCTGGTCTCTCCAAGGCTGCTGTTCCTTCACCTCGCTGGCTGTGAGAGGTCTGTGTGAGAGGAGAGTACAGGAAGTGATGTCACTTCCTAGCCCCGTCTCTCCCATCACACAGAGTGCCAAGTGGGACAGGAAGAAGGAGACCTGGCAGAGAGGGAGAGAGCAGGTGAAGCTGCCAGGTCTCATTTGAGGATGAGGGGAGAGGTGATGTATGTGCAGAGCGGTAGGTTGTTGGGCCCTACACTCCATCAGGGGCCCCACAACCTATGAATGGAAGAGATCTTTTTTTATTTTTACTTTGCTGTTCCAGTTGGAGAGATCTCTGATCACCCCAGCTGAAGCTTGGCTATATGGCCAGGCTCCTAGCTGTCTCGGGCCCCCGGTCCATTACCGATGTGCCTGAGTGGTCAGTCTGCCCCTTCAAATACATACACACATGCACACACACACAAACCAATTCCCAGACAGGTCTTTGAGTTGGGCACATTGTGCGCTCTAATGCGAAACAATGTGCAATGCCAATTAGCTATAACCAGTATTTTGAATGCAGCCTTGTACATGGCTGAATATGTACAGTGGGGTGGCCATAAAGTCCAAGAATAATACAAATATAACTGTGTATATGTTTCTAAGGACACTATCTCTTCCTATATAGGAGAGGAACCAGGACCTAAAATAATTATCCTTCTCAAAGTATTCTCTATGTCACTGTTTCCCAATTGGTGTTTCACAAGAATACAAATGGGGTTCCGCCAAAATTTTGTTAAACAAAAAAACCTTGGGCAGTGATGGAGCACTTTCCCCCAGCTCATCTCTCTCGCGTGCAGAAGATCACTGCTCCCTCGCTGTCCGTATGCCAGCCGCTCAGCAGCCCCAAAGGACCACAGGGACCGCGCATGCCCAGATGCTCAGCCCAGTGCCCCACTGGATCACAGGGACATAGAGAGTCCATGCCAGCACTCCCAAATGTAGGGAGGCTGGGTGGATTCAAATAAAAAAAAAAATAATGAATTGTATGTGTGTCTGTTAGGTAGTTTGTATGTGTTTGTGTGTCTGTCAAAAGGTGTATGTGTGTTTGTCAGTGAGAGTGTATGTGTTCTTTTCAGTGAGAGTGTATATGTGTTTGTCAGTGAGAGTGTAGGTGTGTCTGTCAAAGAGTATGTGTGTCAAGGTTTGTGTATGTGTCACTGTGTGTATGCCAGTATGTGTGTGTTGGTGTGTGTGTATGTGCCAGTGTATATCAGTGTGTTTGTATGTCAGTGTGTGTGTGTGTATCTGAGTGTCAGTGTGTGTATCTGAGTGTGTGTATGTGTCAATGTGTGTATGTGAGTGTATATGTCACTGTGTGTATCTGAGTGCGTGTGTATTTGTGAGTCAAGATGTGTGTATGTGTATCTGAGTGTGTGTATCTGTGTGCCAGATACATACACGCACACACAAACACTGGCACATACAAACACGGATACACACACTTTAACACATAGATATACACACCTTGACATACATACACACACACACACACAGATACACACTGTGTGTCAAGGTGTGTGTGTATCTGTGTGTCAGATTCATACACACACACACAAACACAGATACACACACCTTGACATACAGATACATACACACACGAATACACACTGTGTGTCAAGGTGTATGTATCTGTGTGCCACTTTGTGCCAGTGTGTGTGTGCGCATCTGTGTGTAAGATACACACACACAGATACACATTGACACACAGATACACACCTTGACACATACAAACACAGATACACACACCGGCACATACAAAAAACGGCACAGTTTTTTTTTTGTTTTTTTTTACTGGGCAGCGGCGGGGTTGTTCCTCGATGTTGATACACTATGTCAACGGGTTCCATGGGAAAAATTAATAGAAACCCCTGCTCTATGGTCTTAGATTTTTATTGCTACAGCAAAATAGATATACTTATATTTGTACAAACCTGTATTACAAGAGCGCTACACGCTAAAAGTGTCTGAGAGAGTGATTTATGTATTAAAATATTAGATAAGGTTTAGATTACTTATCTATTAGTACTTACAGGTGGTGAATAATGATATGGTGATGTATAATCAGTGCAGTATGTAGTTTCTAGATTCCTGAAAAAAAAAGGGGAAAACACATGGAAATAAATTTAAAAGCAACAATTCACTTACTTAGTATTATTATAATACTATAGTCCAAGCACTCACTGAGGAAGCATTGGTCTCATCAGCAATGGGTGGCAGTGATTGGCTGTGAGTATTAGCTGTTCACTTTTAGCCTATCCCAGTGTCCACTGCTGGTATCAATTGAAGGAAGTGTGTAATTTCTGCCTTAGCAAGATCTCTAGTGGGGGCAGGTTGTGGGTGGCCAGGGACTCTCATTGAGGGTTAAAACGTTCAAAAATGGTTTAAAGGGACTCTCCAGTGCCAGGAAAACAAATCCGTTTTACTGGCACTGCAGAATCCTGCAATGCCACCCTCCCTTCCACCCCACATCCTATGTTACTGAAGGGGTTAAAACCCCTTCAGTGACTTACCTAAATCCAGCGCCGATGTCCCTCGGCGTTGGGTCAGGCTCCTCCCACACTCCTCCCCTGCCAACGGTGGAGACCTAATGCGCATGCACGGCAATGACCGCACGCGCATTAGATCTTTCCGTAGGAAAGCATTATTTAATGCTTTCCTATGGGGAGTCTGGCGACGCTGGAGGTCCTCATGCACATGCCTGGACCTTATTTCTCTCAGGAGTGGAGCTTTGGCCCGCCCTACTCTCCGAATGCTCCACCCCAGGGGGCCCATCTCCTAGACATTAATTTATGTTGCATGCAACACATACTCCCCCTGGGGTTAATGTCATATGCCTCTCTGAGGAAATTAGCAGAAATATAAACACCCTCACAAACAACACCATTCACTTTATCACAATATATATATATATTGTGCCCGGTCATGGCTTGGTTACGTGTGGTTTTATTTACAATAAATTTTTGATATTTTCATCTACTGCTGCTGTTATCCGTATCTCCGTGATCCATCTGTTACCAGTGGTTCATGGTCCATGGGTACTCATCATTAGCCTGCACCTTTGGGCTTGCTATACAAAGCCTGTTATGGCTCTGAAATTCGTGAGTGTAACCATTTATAATCTACTACTCACTTTATTTGTACAGTACACACTATGTTCTATGTTATTGTTTTTTTTAGGCACTGCGGAGATCTGCTTGCCATCTGTGTATACATTTAAGTATAAACTTATTAACTGTACATCTGTATTCCTTTGGAAGGGTGCACTTCCACTTTGTGTTTTATACACTTTGTTGTTGTTGTTGTATTTATTTTAAGGTTTCATTTGTCTGCCCTCTGGGTATTCAGGCACTCATTGGACCTACATTGTTTATTAATCATGTAGATGTTGCAACAGACTGCCTAAATATATGTCAGGCCCAAACTTGGTGGTTATTTAAAAAAAAAAAAAGTACTGGATTTGTTTCACTGTAACAGCCTGTTTGATACGTGTTCGGTTATTGGGATTTGTTTATTGCATGCTTACTAAGTACAAAGCAATCCCTGCATATTTAAGCCTTAAAGGACCACTAAAGGCACCCAGACCACTTCAGCTGAATGAAGTGGTCTGGGTGCCAGGTTTTAACCCTGCAGCTGAAAACATAGCAGTTCTAGTGGCTGTCTCACTGTTTCCGCAATTCCGCTGGACGTCCATAGGAAAGCATTGAGTAATGCTTTCCTATGGGCGGTTTGAATGCGCGTGCATGCGGATCTGATGTCGGCAGGGGGAGGAGAGGTCACCAGCGCCGAGGGAGCCCGGCGCTGGAGAAAGGTAAGTGGCTGAAGGGGTTTTAACCCCTTCAGCCCAGCAGGATGGGGGCCCTGAGGGTGGGGGGGACCTAATGATAGTGGTCCTTTAACTAATTCTGTTGTCCTGATTTCTCACATGTTCATATTCTGCAAATAACAATTTTTTTTTTCATTCAAATAATTTTTATTGAAAGATTTTGCAGATTTTACAAGTAATAAAAAAACAATATATTAGGGGAGGGAAAAGGAAGGGAAAACTTGGAAGTGGGAAAAAAGGGGGTATCCATCCATTAAAACGGTAAGTATGTTAACGTACAAGGCACTTAAGTTGAAAAACATTCCATAACAAGTTATTAAAGGTTATATTTTTTTTTACATCAGTTTCCCATTGATCCCAGTGGTATTTCAATTGTGCAAATATATGTGTGTTATTTCTATGTGATAATTCGTATGATTTGTTTTCTAGTGTTAGTGTTAGTACTTCTTTAACTGAGGATGAGTTTTTAGATTTCCAATATCTAGGTAGGCATGTGGTTGCAGCTATCAGAATGTGGCCTACTATAATTATATCAATTTTACTGATGGATTCAGGGAATTTTTTAAATAGAGCCAGTTCAAATGTGAAGCGACCTATGTTACTGTTCACCTTAATAATCAAGTCATGTATCATTTTCCAATATCTAGTCAGTCTTGGGCAAAACCACCATATGTGGACCATGTTGCCCAGTCCTCCGCAATCTCTCCAACATCTGTCGCTGTACTTATTATTAATATTATGCAATTTAGACGCGGCCAGATACCATCGATACAGAATTTTAAAGTGGTTTTCGTGATGGTTGGAGCAGAAAGATAGGCCCTTCAGAGCTGAAAAAAAAACTGAACCAATCCTCCAACTTATATTGGGAACCCAGCTCCGTCTCCAAGGATAACATATGCTTCAGTTTAATTGATGGTTTATCACTATGTAACATTTAACAGATAGATATAATGCCCTTCCTATTCGGGTCATGCAAAAATAGCTTTTCTAGTTGTGATATTTCTAGTGCTTTATAATTTTTGTCGGTTTCCGGTATGTTGTGTATTTCTTTTAATTTCTCAATCACCAACTCATATTCATCCTTACATTCGGTCGCCAGTCTATGCTTAAATTGTAATCTTTCATAAGACAGAATAGAGTTTCCATGGAAAAAGTCGTCTATATGATACAGTCGGTGTTCTTTAAGTAATGATGAGTTTAAGGTCGGGATGTAGTATTTTAAAGATTCAATTGGTATGGCTCTATATAGTTTTGTCAAGTGGCAGTTGTTTTTAAATATGATATCCCAGGCTTTAAGTGTGGTCTTAGTGGTCATAAACATTTTAGTTACTCCAGGTCTCCTTACAGGGTTTAGCCAGGGTAAATCCCTGAGTTGAAAGGGGAGAATGCTAGATTCCTCCATTTCCATCCATCTCGGGCTATTTTTTTTTTTTACTATTAAAGCTTACAACCACTGCAGCGTTAGTTGCAAAGTAGTACTTTCTGAAATTAGGGACACCAATGCCCCCATTAAGTTTTTGGTGCTGCAGGGATGTAAGCTTAATTCTGCTGGGTTTGTTGTTCTAAATAAATTTTAGCATTATTGAATGTACTTTGTTAAAGAAGGACATTGGAATAGATAAGGGGATAGTTCTAAAATAGTACAAGATTTTTGGGAGGACTGACATTTTTATAAAAGCAATTCTTCCTAACCACGATAACTCTATACCACCCCATCTCTCCATCTCCTTGTGTAGGTCCGGCCATGCCCTCTTCAAGTTATGAATATGCATATTGGGTAAATGTTTGGATAAGTTAATTCCTAAATATTCCAGGTAATCCCACCTCCATTCGAACGGATATGATAGTCTTAATTCATCCATATCAGATTTATGCAAGTGGAAAGGTAGGGCCTGGGTCTTGGATACATTTAATTTATAATAAGACACTTCTCCAAACTGGAGTAGAATAGTATTGAGAGATTTCAGAGAGTCTTTTGGGTTTTTGAGTGCTAGAATGACGTCATCTGCTAATAACCCTATTTTATGAGTGGATCCCTTGATATTAATACCTGCGATTTCTGGGGTCGTCCTAATCAGTTCGGCCAGGGGTTCCATCGCCAGGACAAAGAATTGGAGATAAGGGGCATCCTAGACGCGTCCCATTAGTTAGAGAAAACGTTCTGGATTGGAAACCAGAGGCTGATACATGAGCTGTGGGTGCACTGTATAGTGCCTTTATCGCAGTAATAAAAAAGACTGTGGAATATCAAATCTGCTCAGTGTCTTCCATAGATATCCCCAATGTACACTGTAGAACGCCTTCTCTGCATCCAATGAAAGGAGCAGAGAAGGAGTTTTTGATGAATTGATATGGTGAATTAAGTTAATGAACCGTCTCGTTCCATCAGCTGCTCGTCTACCTTTCACGAATCCTACCTGGTCATTATGGATCAATAAAGGTATTAGATTAGTTAATCGGTTCGCTAGTATCTTAGAATAAATTTTTATGTCGTTATTAATAATGGATAATGGGCCTATAATTAGAGCATCTGTCGGGAGTTTTACCCGGTTTTGGCAAGGTGACAATCTGTGCTGACAAAGACTCTCCTGGCATCTTCCCCCCGGATTAATAGGAGTTGAATAATTTGGACATATGAGGAATTAAAGTTTTTGCAAAGGTCTTATAGTATAAAATGGTGAATCCATCAGGACCAGGGGCCTTTCCAGATGGCATGAGCTTAATCGCCTCAGCTATCTCTGCTTCAGATATATCACGCTCTAATTTTTCCAAATTATCAGAAGACAGCCGAGGCAACGAAACCCTGTCTAAAAAATTATTAATAGTCGCCTCAGACGGCTGGGTGAGATTTACATCAGATTCCAAGTTATAAAGTATACTATAATATTTGGCGAATTGGTCACTAATCTTATTCGGGTGAAATGTTTTTTGTCCCTGGTCATCTATTAAGTACGCAATTTTAGAATGGGCATTCACCTGCCGGAGTTTGGACGCCAGGAAAGTTGAGGCCTTGTTACCATTTAAATAAAACACTTTCTTGAGGAGTCTCACCATGAGAGTAGTTCGATCCAAATTTATTTTGTGAATTTTTTATTTAATCTCCCCTATCATTGCTGACAGCGAGGAAGATGGGCCGAATTTATTTGCCCGATTTAGGTTGTACAGTTCTTTTTCCAAATTTCTTAAGTTGCTGTTATTTTTCCTCTTCAAGTGAGACGCCCTAGAAATGAAATGGCCTCTCAACACAGCCTTGTGCGCATGCCATGTCACCTCGCCAGGAACCTCATGCAAAACATTTTCAAAAAAATAGTCATTCAGTATCCCTTCAGCTAGCGATCTATTTTCAGGATCATCTAATAAGTAATCACTCAGTTTCCAGTGCCTATTGGGGGAGAAATAAACCATTTCGTCTATATATAAAGTTATGGGAGCATGGTCAGACCAATTGATATCTAAAATATCAGATCTTGAGATGTGTGGTATGAGAGCGCCCTGTATCAGAAACCTGTCCAGCCTGGAATACATGTTCTTGGATACTGAGTAAAAAGTAAAGTCTCTTTCATTCTCATGCATTAATCTCCATGGATCATACAGTCCACATTCAACCACATATTTCGAGAATTTCACAGCTAATCTATCACTATCTCTCCTATGGAGTTTATCCAAATTATCCCTTGCATTATCTAAGTCGCCATCCATAACGAAGTTCATATCTCCACACATCACCAAAGTCCCTTTCATCTTCTCATTCACCAAATCCATAATTTTCCTAAAGAAAGTAAGCAGACCCGTGTTAGGAAAGTGCACATTGACAATTGTATACCTAACATTGTTAACCTTACCAATACCCGTCATCATCCGTCATTATCTTTTCTGTAGAATTGGCCACATTCCTGCTAAAAAAAAATGGTACCTCTAGACTTAGTTTTGTAAGTGCAATGAAATTGGGAAGGGAATAACCGTGTCATAAATTTGTACTCTTTTCCTTCCTTAAGATGAGTCTCTTGAATACAGACAATATCTGATTTGTTGGATTTGACTTCTTTGAATAGTCGCCTCTTGTGAGCGGTGTTCAGGCCCCTCACAATAAATGACATGAGTTTAATGACCATGACTCAAATCAGAGTACACAGCCATTAAAAAGAGATTGTATAGAAATGTGGGAGCCCGAAGGCACTCGTCCCAAGAGGAGAGTTATGAAATCCAACAATCGTAATAACAAATACATTTGTTTAGACAAGAGTGAGCGTGCTAAAACATTTGAAGCATAACCTGTTAGCTTCTTGAATTGCTTACAGTGCATTAGTAAATGGATGGGATAAAAAGGAAAAATAAAAAATGGGGAATGATAAACTTGGATAAATTCCTTTATACAGGGAGAGAAAAAACCTATGTTTAGAAAAAGGGCCATGAGGGAGAATAAAAAATAATTCTCCATCTCAGGTTATTAGGCCTCGGTTGGGAGCAGCAAAAACTGCCTGCGCCAAGGGGAAAACAATCAAAGCTTTAAAGAAAAATTAAAAATGAACAGTGGTATGCAGAGAAAATCAATAATGAATGGAGTTCTTCTAGTTCCGTGAACATATCTCTAATGAAGTCCGATATATGCTCAGTATGTCCCAGGCCTATATCAGAAATCAGTAATATACATTCAAAAACGTCACTATCCTATAGACATTTAACCAAGTGTTGATGCACAATAAAGAACAAAGAATGTGGAACCAAAAAATGAGAGAGCGGGAAAAAAAAAAAAAAAAGGGAAAGAGAAAAAACAATTTGTAAGTAATAAAATGGATGTGATAAAACAACGTGGAGAAAGTAATAAATCCAAACCGGCAATACGTATGCTGGAGCTTTTGTGCCTTCAAAAAATTAAAAGAAAGTAGCTTCAAGAGTCATCCACCCTACTTTTCTTGTGGGTGTGTCTTGGAGTAGACGGTGAGGTTACGTGAGGTTGATTTTGACGTCTGTTCATGGCATTAAGAAGATCCATCCCTTCCTCAGGAGAAGTGATTGTGAAATTTCTGCCATCAATATGAAAATAATTTTACAGGGAATCCCCATCTGTAACGAATCTCTCTTTGTCTCAGCTCTGTCGTGAAGGGTTGAAATTCTCTGCGGCATCTCACTTGGTAAACTTTGATATATTTATACTCCGCAGGGAGACCTGATTTGCGAATAGTGCTCAGGATTTCATGTTTTATATGAAAAAGGTGTAGTCTCACTATGGTGTCTTTTGGAGCTGTTGCAGGTGCATTGCCTGATTTAGGGAGTCTGTGGATACGATCCACTATTAGATCTAAATCAGTAGCTTTGGGTAAAATCGTTTTAACCATTTTTTGGAAATAATGTATCAAGTCCGAGGTGTCCACTTTATCAGGTATCCCCCTGATCCTCAAATTGTTACGCCTGCTCCTGTCTTCAGAATCTGCCATTTGCCATCCGCTTGCAAGTTGACCTGTTTCTGAAGTTCCTTCACAGTGTTAACCAGATCTAAATGTGATTATTCTTGCACCTGCATTCTGTATTCAACATCTTCTGTACTTTGACCAATGTTTTCTAAAACTCTGTACATAGTGTCAAAATCTTTTCTAAAGTCATTCTTTAAATCCACTCACAAGTTTTGTATAAGTTGAATAATCATACCAGCAGAAGGTGGTAAATCCTCTGCCATTTCAAGCGGCATATTAGGATTGTAGGTCATGGTTTTGAATCCTGAAGAAGCCATCTTGGATGTGGCAGTTTCCATGTTAGAAGTGGCAGTGGCCATCTTGGTGGTGGCAGTGGTTACATGTACACAGTGGTAGACATCTTGGGTGTGGTAAAATCATTAATAGAAGTCTCATTAGTAGCCATCTTGGTAGAGGCTTCATGCCTGATGTTTTGTTGCATAGAAGAATAATAAATGGAGCCTATTTCTTCCTCCAGTACATCACAGTCTATTAAATTGTCACCATCATCTACCAATTCTTTGTCTTTTAGGGAGATGGAGGGTAAGACCCCCCCTCCCCCGCCCATGCAGGCCTTTACTCACCCCTTCAGCTGCAGCTGCTCGCATTTGCAGTACAGGCACGTCTTTTTCCATTTATTTTTTGTTTCTGCATTGTTGCCAGTTGTTCAGGTGTCTCTTTCTGTGTAAAATTCTCTGTCATCCAGGCTTAATAATTTATTTATGAAACATTTATGTCCCCTTGCCTCAGGAGCTCCTCTAGAATGTGGCCATCTAAGATGGTGGCCAGACTCCGCCCCCCCAAATAACATCTTTTAATAATGAGTTTTCTATTTTAGGTTATTTTTAGGTCATTTTGTATTGCCTACTTCTTACAACTCTGTATGATCTCTATTAATGCTGTATGCACTTAAAGAGTTACGCAGCTGCCCAAATACAAACTAAGTGAAAATCACTTGTGCTCCAAATGACAACATGCAAATGGATGTGCCCCAAATGACAACATGAGATCTTTTGATCTCCCTGCTGGCTCGTTCAGCTGCAGGCTCTCCACTGTGGCGCCCTCAGTGAGCCCTGGGGGAGGAGGCAAGTTAAAAAATCCAGGCGGTGGATAAGTGCCACCTCTTACCCTTCCCTGCGGACACCCATGCCTACGATGCCCCATTTATAAATTGTGGTAGCTTCTTTTCTATTACAATAGGTGTGGGTATAAAAAGATAAATGTTATTGTTATTTTGGGGGGTCTGGTGCAGACAAAAAGTAATTTTTAATAGTTTCCACTGAAGCTAGTCCCATACCCACCTGGGAGTGGTGGTATTTGTGACAAAGACCTTAATGAATCCACATCACAAAGGATTCAGGACGTTTTGCAGGCAAAAATAAGCCTTAAAATCCTGTACTATGCAATAATTTTCCAGACTGACGTTTTTCATTATGCGACATGACACCATAAAATGTCTAGTATACAAGAAAAACTTGTGTTGTTCTATATAACGATGTTATGTTAATTTATTATTGTTGTTATCATTATTTTTCTTATTCTGTTATTTTAAACCAGAGCAATCTACATGCCCATTGTATTGTGATTTTTTTCTTGTTAAAATACACAGAAATAAGAACTAAAAATAAATAAATGCATTAAAAAAACCTGTATATGCCTGTATATATATATAGCGCAATGGGTTATTACACACTTACTGGTCTAATTCACATTTTGCTGACCAGTTTGGTCTTATAATTCCTCAATGAAAAGCACCTCAAGCATTTTATTATTTTAAATCTATGTTTTTATTTTTTACAGTCGCTACATTTCATCCTTGAAATTACATATTCATTCTTTGTAGTAATTAAAAGTGTATTACCATCAGTGTGGCCAGAAGGTGTTGGCCTCCAAATATTTAAATACTTAACGTATATACCCGAGTATAAGACGAGTTTTTCAGCACATTTTTTGTGCTGAAAAACCCCCACTCGTCTTATACTCGAGTCAATGTCTGTATTATGGCAACTTACATTGCCATAATACAGACCAGGACCGCCGGGCTAATTACAAGCCCGGTGGTCCTGTTGGGGGCTGGCAGCGAGCTGTAACTTACCTTTCCTGCAGCTCCTGTCAGCTCCCTTCTCCTCCACTGTAAAGAGCCGCGGCGTCAAAGCGTTACAGCTGACAGGAGCTGCAGGAAAGGTAAGTTACAGCTCGCTGCCAGCCCCCCTTCTACACAGCCCATGCCACTAGACCACCCGGGAATGAGAGCCCCTCTCCCTGGCCATATATCGAGCAGAGAGGGGGGACAAAAAAATATAAATAAAAATTTAAATAATAATATAATAGAATAAAACATTTCATAATATTAAACATAAAATAAAAATATTAAAAAAAAACTAAATTTATTAAAATAATAATTAAAAATAATAATAAAAATGCCCACCCCCCACCAAGGTTACACACTCTCCATCACATACACACACACACACACACTGCACTCATACACACTCTGCATTCATACACACACACACACTACATTCATACACACACACACACACACACACAAACACTGCATTCATACAAACACACACACTCTGCATTATATACACACACACACACTGCATTCAATATATACACAAAATAAATATTCAATTAATATAATTATTTGGGGATCTAATTTTATTTAGAAATTTACCAGTAGCTGCTGCATTTCCCACCCTAGTCTTATACTCGAGTCAATGAGTTTTCCCAGTTTTTTGGGGTCTCTACTTATATTCGGGTCGACTTATACTCGAGTATATACGGTATATCAGGTGTCTACTGTAGTTTTTTTCCCCTGACTTGGAAAGGCTCTACCATTTTCATTCCACTGACTATTTTAGATATTTACAGTGTTTTTACATATTTACACTGAGGTAAAACAACCAGCAACATGAAGTACTACATTCTTTGAGACCCTTTGTGAAGCTGGATCAGGTAAATGCCTTATCGAACTCATCTACAATGCCATGTGTAACTAATGCTATGGTCATCTACAATGCCATGTGTAACTAATGCTATGGTCATCTACAATGCCATGTGTAACTAATGCTATGGTCATCTACAATGCCATGCGTAACTAATGCTATGGTTTGGAGCAAACTTGCTTATGTTGCTCACTGGGGGTGGGACCTAGGAGAACAGCAGGTCGTAGGGGTTTGGCAAGATGTTGTGGACTACATCTCCCTTGATGCTTTGGCAGTATTTTGGCTGTAAGAGCATTATGAGAGATGTATTCCACAACATCTGAAATGACAAAGGTTGCATACCCCTGGCCTAGACCTTACACTACAGGTTCTGAAGCATTATTGCCCAAAGGACATTAAAACATATGATACAAATGTAAAAAAAAAAAAAAATGAACATTATGTAATGTATTGCAACATATTCCCAGATAGCAATAAAAAAAACCTCTACATATGTGGCTGAGACTGCAGTCATCAAGTCTATAGTTAGTATTGATTTGGGAAACTCCCATGTGAGCAACATATACTAGACTTATTATCTCACTGTTTGTCATTTACACTTTGATAGGGGAAATCAGCCAATCACCACTCAAAACATATAGCAAATTTGTATGTATACACAGAAATAGAAAAGGCAGTCTGAGAAGCATGGCCATTTAGCTTTAAAGGGACACTATAGTCACCAGAACAACAACAGCTTAATGTAGTTGTTCTGGTGAGTATAATAGTTCCCTTCAGGCATTTACATGCAAACACTGGCTTTTCAGACAACAGGCAGTGTTTACATTGCCCCTAGCAACCCCCTTCAAGTGGCCACTCCTTAGATGGCCACTGGAGGGGCTTCCAGGCTCAGGGCTGCACAGTAAGAGACGCTGGGGAGACATTGAATTTTCCTCATAGAGATGCATTGATTCAATGCATCTCTATGAGGAGGTCCTGATTGGCCAAAATGGTTTTTAGCCAATCCAATGCTTTCTCTGTGGGGAAACCCTATAGTGATCCTTTAACTACTTCTTGTATCCAGTTTATGAGAATGGATACGACTTCTTGTTACTTATTTATCCACTTAGGCCAAGATAATACTGCTGTCAATGCATGAAAAGGCAGTGTTTACATTAAAAGCCTGCAGGGACAGGAAATAGACAGTGACACCAGACAAATCTACATTAACTGTAGTTTTTCTACTGACTATAGTGTCCCTTTAACTATATACCTTACAGGGGTGTGGCATTTAAAAAAAACTAAAATATACTTCTCCAAGCCATAGCCCCTTCTACGTGTCCGCCACAACAATCTACTTGTCCTGACACACAAAATAATTTAAGTTTGCGGCACCTGCCTAGAGGCCTGGACATTGACAGGGTTATTCACTAAACTGCGTACTGTTGGAGCTTATAACTTATAGTACTATTGGCTGCTCCAAATTATTGATGGCTACTGGTCCTTACAGTGTCCAAGCGAGTGCTAAGTCTAGGTAAACAGAATGTCGGAAAACAGACTAAGAGGAGTTGTGATCAAGCCAAAACCAAGGAACACAGAAAGACACAATACAGAGGACCAGAGCAGTCAAACAACCCAGCGTCAGTAACCAAATAATTAATAGAGATACAAGGAACGCACTATCAGGTAAACAGGATCCACAACAGGGCAAGAAATCATAAGAAACCCAGAAGTATACCCCTGGGGTGAATTCTATTGGTTTCCATCATGCCTGCGATTACAGAATGTGCATAATAGAGAGAATGTGAATTTGACGCAGGATCTGCTTACATCAAAAGATCATTAACAATAGTATAAGAGTCGTCATTTGCCACATTTAAAATCGATGTCAGAATGGCACGTGTCATTTGCCACATTTAAAATTGATGTCAGAGTAGCATGTGTCATGAGAGTACTGAAATGATGCTGTGCATTGCTATAGGTAAATATATTATTGCATAGGGCACAGGGGAGGCACTATACCATGGTTAGAAATCAAAATTGATGCATTAACCCCTTAAGGACCAAACTTCTGGAATAAAAGGGAATCATGACATGTCACACATGTCATGTGTCCTTAAGGGGTTAAATAACGAATTTAATGGAACTTTTAAAGATTCTCTAAGACAGCTATGCTTCAAGTTAGCTACTTTGGCCTTAAATTTCAAATTAGTTTAGAATTCTCACTTTATGCAGTATACAATTGTAAACATGTGCATATGTCCCAGTGCAAATAATAACATGGCTTATAATTGTAAGGGTATATGCCACATAATCCTCATTTTTTTTTATTAATTTTTTTTTTTTATTAACAAATATTAAAATAAAACATACTGATTCTTTAAAATATATAGAAATTTGACAAATACAAAAATTACATGTACCAAAAAATAAAATAGGATATAATAAAGGAGTTCCCTCCAAAAAGAATTTCTTAGAATACTTACATTTTTCCATGTTCTTTATTATGATGTGGTAAAACTGCTCCAAAACCATGCTCAGGGTGACCAGTATGTCTGAAAACCAAGATACACATGGAATGTTTGTTAATTGCCAATCATACAGACTTTAACATTTATTAATTATGCTTCCCATAAAACATTGAAGTTGAATATTACTCCAATCAATTTCTATTTACATTTCTCTTTTTAAAAAAACTAACATACCGGGGACCTGTGTCACTATAGTTATCACTCATTTTATGCTATGTCATTGTGAGTTATTACAAAGTGTGATTACAGTACATGATGCTCATATGATTCTTAAGATGCAATTGATATATTTTAAAACCACTATTTTTCTTATTTTGTTTATTTCCACATATATCAAAAACAAAGTTGTTCTGACATAGGCCTCAATACAATATTTTTGGTTATGCTAGGATTTATTTCCTATTTTGAAAAATATAAATATTTTGATATATTGATATCATTTTATATTTAAAAATAACAAACAAACATCATTTATATAGAAATATATCAATGTCTAAAAATATATATATATATATGATTTTTCAAAAATATTAATTTAAGGACATAACCTGGTATTTAACGTAAATCCCAAATGTTACATGATTCCCAGTTTTTGCATACATACAAACAGAGAAAGTCATGGGTAGAAGAAGGGTTGGAATGGGAAAAAAAAATTTGGCCCGAGCATTTTTTTTATCACAGTGGCTCACTGCGGAGGTGGGTGGGGCCCCAGAGGGGGTATTTTTTCATTACAAATGACAAGCACGTCCCCTCTCAAAGGAAGCATGTTGGTTCAGTGCACTACCAGGACAGTTCATGTGCAGAGCCACACTGAAGAGCACTGGCATGAGAAAAAGGCCCTGTATTTGTTCTATGCAGCGCAAGCAAATTTATTAACATGCTTGCGATGTGTTTGCTTGCATGTCTCTGCTGTCTCCAAAAGTAAGATACCAGAGGACAAAAGGGCCAGGAAAGCATATAATATATTGTGCATGTGTTTGGAGCCAGCCTGAGATTGTGTGTGTGTGTGTGTGTGTGTGTATAGAGTGAGCCAACTGTGGTGTGGTGTTTTATATAAATAGGTTGGTTTAAGTTGTGTTATGTGTGTGGCTAGGGGCTGTAGAGAGTGATAGAGGGTGTGTGTGTATAGGGGATGTAGCAAGTGTATGCATAGGAGATCTAGTGGCGTGTGTGTATACATATATACATTTATATAATATACACACACACGATTGTGTGTATTGTCAGAATATTTTTCACTGGCAGACATTTTGTGTTAAGATTTAAATAAAAAATGTATACTGTGCGTCACCACTTAGCAGATGTGACTCCAATTTGTAACAAAATGCAAAAGCTCAGACATACATTTGTGTTTCTATCTATTAGAACTTTTATGTTAGCCGCATTCCAGAGATAAGGTTTGTCTACAAGAACTTATGTCTGCAACAAAGGGGGTAGAATGAGCCCAGCCCAGACACACACACACACACACACACACACACATATATATATATATATATATATCTACACACACACATATAGGCTAACTGTAATTTTGTTTAATCATATATAAATAGTACATATGTTAATAATATTGAATATTCATGGTGTAGGGATGCACCGAAATTTCGTCCGAAAATGGGCCTATCCCATTTCGGACGAAAATAGACTGCTTGCCTTTCACACATACACAGAGGATTCACCGTTTCCCCTGGCTGTGCCCGGCTCCAGCATCCCTCCATGCTGACCGTGAAGAAGACAGAGATCAGTGGCAGCCGGGGGGAGGGAGCACCTACCCCTTCCCTCCTCCTCTGGGATCATGGCCTTGCCGGACACCATGGCCACTCTGGAAAGGACCCCACAGAAGCAAGAGAGGGCTTTCCCGGGGACAGAGCACTGGCCATTCGCAGGGTCAAACATTATGGCTGGGCATTGGGGCGGATAGGGGGCAACCGGAGACCCCCGAGGGCCAGAAAACTAGCAGGAGAAAAAGAATCAAGGTAACTAGCAAAGGCACCCTGGGGGAGTAGAGTATACCCAGTGCGGTGTACTGAGGGTTATTATAGTATTGCTGTATACTCGCTGCTGTGCCCATGATAATCCAGTACAAAGACTCACATTCTGTATATACACAGTGCTGTGTCCATGATCGTCTACAAAAAGAGTCCTGTGCTGTGTACAGTGAGTGTTACATGCCTGCAGATTCCCAATTCACAGCATGTGAGCCTCCAATAAAAAAGGCTTTTTAATGCTTGTGATATAACCAGTGCTGTGCCAACACGGGGATTACCAAATATGAACTACAGTATTCCCAATCAGGGCCACACTGGCCCACCGGGATACCGGGAAATTTCCAGGTGGGCCGTCGGCACCTGGGGCCGGCCCTTTAAATACTGCAGCCGCCTGAGCGCTCTGTGAAGAGCCTCAGGCGGCTGCAGCCTCCCAGCAGCGTGGCCGAGCTGCACTCCGGTCCGCGGTGGCCGGCCGGAGTGATAGGAAGGTGCACACTGAGTGTGCACTTCCTGTCAGTCCGGCCGGTTACAGGAAACAGAAACTCCTGTTCCGCGCGGAGTTTCTGTTTCCTGTAACCGGCCGGACTGACAGGAAGTGCACACTCAGTGTGCACCTTCCTATCACTCCGGCCGGCCACCGCGGACCGGAGTGCAGCTCGGCCACGCTACAGGGGAGGGGGTAAGAATAGGGGAGGGTAGAAAGAGAGAGGAGGAGGGAATAAAAAGAGGGAATAGTAAGAAGAGGGAGGAGGGGAGAAGAAAGAAGAAGATGAGGGAGGGAGGAGGAATAATAAGATGAGGGAATGAAAAGAGGGGAATAAAAAAGAGGGGAGAATAAGAAGAGGGAGGGGAGAATAAGATGAGGGAATAAGAAGAGGGGAGGGAAGGGAATAAGAAGAGGGAGGGAGGAATAAGAAAAGAGGGAGGGGGAATAAGAAGAGGGGAGGGAGGGAATAAGAAGAGGGGAGGGAGGGAATAAAAAGAGGGGAGGGGGGAATAAGATGGGGGAATAAAAAGAGGGGGGGAATAAGAAGAGGGGAGGGAGGGGAATAAGAAGAGGGGAGGGGGGAATAAGATGGGGGAATAAAAAGAGGGGGGGGAATAAGAAGAGGGGAGGGAGGGGAATAAGAAGAGGGGAGGGGGGGAGAATAAGAAGGGGCAGCTCTATAGGACAGGGGCCAAGACAGGGAGCTCTTTCACACTACGCACGCACACACACAATGCATCCCTATACATACACAGAAACACAACATGCTTCCCTTACACACAGAGAAACACACAATGCATCCATTACACACACACACACACACACACACACACACAATGCAACCCTTACACACACAGACAATGCATCTTTTGCACACATACACAGAAACAGGCAATGCAAACCCGTACACACGCATGCAAACACACACACTTCTTTTCTTACATACACACAGAAACACAATGCATCTCATGCACACACATACAGACACACACCTTGCATCCCTTATGCATACATACACAGATTCACACAAAGCATCCCTTACACACAACCAGAAACACATAATACATCCCTTATACACAAATACACACTGCTTCCACTACACACAAACACACTGCATCACCTGCACAAACTGGTAACCCTAAACACTACATACCATAAGCACACATATTAGATCCTCCACAATAACACATAACACATCCCCTACACACTCCACTCCCTGTGAGCGAACTCATGGGTGGGTGGAACTTATGAGTGGGCCTTATGGGCATACTCACCGTCAGGCCCTGGGGCCCAGACCTTGAGCTGTGTAAGGGGCCACAAAAAAATTGAGCTGCTTCCAACTGAATTTTGTGACCACAGTTGCAAACAGCCTCCAGAAATCCTGTTCTACACCAGACCAGTGGAGCCAAACTGCAGCCCATCATCATCCTCATCTGCTTGTAAGTAGGCAATCTAGTATATTATTAGTGACACTAATCTATAATTTACCTCACATTAAAGGGACACTATAGCTTAATGAAGTGGTTCTGGTGTCTATAGCTGGTCCCTGCAGGCTTTTTAATGTAAACACACACTGTGTGCAGCACTGGCGTTAGTTCATATGGCAGATCATATGGGTGGGGCATTGTGATGTGACATGTGGGGGCAGCAAATTTTTATTTTGTCTAGGGCGGCAAAAATCCTTGCACCGGCTCTGATCCTGGGCAGGTGCACCAGTCTACTTGACTGGTTTTGCCCCCCAGGCCTAAGGCTGCCAGCCCTCCCCTGGCCGCTGGGGAGGTCTTTTGGCGGCCGCTGGCGGACTTGTCCTGGCGGCCGCTGAGGGAGCTGCGCTGGCTCTGCTCCCCAGCATGCAGCTGAATGAGACCGGCGCCGGAATATGACGTCATATTCCGGCGCCAGTCTCATTCAGCAGCGCGCGAGGGCGGGAGGGCACTAACACAGGAAGCACCTCTAGTGACCGTCTGAGTGACTGTCACTAGCAGTGTCACTTTGAAGCAATGTAAACACTGCCTTTTGTCTGAAAAGTCAGTGTTTACGTTGAAAAGCCTGTAGGGACATGCTATAGACACCAGTACCACCACATTAAGCTGTGTGTGTGCGTCTGCTAGTGAGTGAGCTTGCTTGCATGCGTGTGCCTGCTAGTGAGTGAGCTTGTGTTTTTATGTCAATGAGCTGATGTATATCAGTAAGATTGTTTGTCTATGAGGCTGTGTATCAATGAGCTTGTGTGTGTCACTGAAATGTCAGTGAAATTGCCTGTGTCTGCATGTGCGTATGCTTACTGTATAATTAAACGTTTTACCCTGAAAGGACCAATATTTTATATTAGAAAAAGCAATATATATATATATATATATATATATATTACTCAATCATCTGTCCTGGCAAGACATAGCCTTACATATTACACGCGACAATATATGGCGCAGTGACTTATGGGGCTGGCACAATTTTTTTTTCCAGGGCTGCTTTGTATCCCCAGTCCGGCCCTGTTCCCAATTCATTTTGTGTTGGCTACTATACATAGCCTGTAGTATATCCAGTGCTATGTAGATCAACCAAGTACATGTAAAGTAGTAGGATCAGGGAGCAGCGCCTGTGATGGTACATGTAAAGGTTTGCGTACCAACAGCATACCTAGAGCCGTGTACAGCAGTGCTTCCTGTATATCCAGCATAGTCCATCACAATTTGTATACAGCACTGTTCATTCAGAGTTCTATGAACATAGAGTGATTGCATTACAAGAGTAAACCTTATTTTATGTGTTCCCATGCAATCCTAACTGAAAAAACTGATCAGAGTACCTGGAGTGTACTGTGATTAAAAATATTTTGTATATTTATGTGTATGTAATATACACATTTGTTTCCCTTTTCATTCATTTATATGGCCGTGTACAGCAATGAACATATTGGTGGTTATTCATTGATGTGCAGAATATATATATATATCCCCCAATAGAAGAGATGACCAGCACTCACGGATTCATCCTAATGAAAGTCCCAGACGTGGACTGAAACGTTGAAGCAGCTTTTTAAAGATGGATCAATAAACTTATAACTTTTAATCATTTTTTGTGAATCCGTGAGTGCTGGTCATCTTTTCTATTGGTATGTGCTATTTTCCCCAGACTTCAAGCACCCGGTTTAACTATTTTGAAGCCAGAGTGCAAGGACATTGTGGACTGTTTTATATATATATAATTATTTTTTTTACCTTGTGGACAGTGCACTGCTTGCATGTGTGCAGAGCCACCCTTTGTGTATAGGGATAAATTAGTAACACGCTCAGTACTTGGTATTCTGACTGCATACTAACCTATGTGAGCTTAATATTCAGAGTTTATATTGCTTGTTTAATTCATTAAAAAGTTTAATATTAAGAAAATTATAAAAAAAAATAAAAAAAATAAAATCATTTGGAGAAAAAAAAGTCATTTTCGATTTTCGGGCAAGGGCATCCTGAATTTTCAGTTTTTCCGTTTCGGCCTAGAAGCCACCTAAATGGTGGGTTTTCGTTATAGGGTCAGGAATACATGTTTGTGTTCAGGACCCTATAGTGATCCTTTAATTCTACTTTTTACATTTAATGAGTTGATACAAGGTTCCATTGTATGAAAGAAGGTGAAAGAGAGGCCAGATACGTCAAAATCATACTTTACGGCCCACAAAGTAGTCGCTATGTCTGAGAAGTCCCTTTGAAGACTATTTGATAAACGGTGCCCCATAGAATAAGACTTATGATGTCAAAGGCATTAAGAAATTCAATTAACCCCTTATACAAAGTGATAGTTGGAATTCTGGATGAGAATTTCTTGTGGTGTTAAAACACCACCTATCGATAAAGGCAATCAATAGAAGAAGATACACCCACCTGGCTCCATTGTTCACTTTAAATTAGTGACATAAAGAAAGTTAAGATAAGTGCTTCCTTAAAAATTTAAGATGGGGGGGCGTGGCTTGGAGCTCGACGGGACCGGCCGCGTTAATGTGAAGCTCCCGCAGCTCGGGTCTTTAGGGGCACAACTAATCGGCACCACTAGCAGCAAACAGATTACTCACCCCCACCATGGCACACAGAAGCAAGGAGAAGACCCCCCGAACGGAGAAAGCGAGCTCCGGCGGGAAAACACAGGGAAGACCAGGCCCAAGATGGCGGCGGACAGCGCTCAGGCGAGGTTTCACCCTCCCCTCCACCCTCACCAAGCTCAGCCTCAGAAGAAGGTCCCCTCACAGTTGCAGGGATGAGAACCCTGATGGCAGAGCTCTCTGACAAACTGCAGGCAAGCATTAAAGTGCAGATGCATGAGCTCACCACAGATCTCAGAAAGGAGCTGCTGGAGATTGGGAGCAGGACAGCCCATGTAGAAAACTCCCTGGATGATTTTGCAGTGGCCCACAACAGCCTTGCAGAAACAAGAACTGGAAACCTCGTTAGAGACCCAGAAACGCAAAGTCGCAGATCTGGAAGACAGATCCAGGAGGAATAATCTTCGCTTCAGAGGTATACCAGAATCAGTTTAATCCACAGAACTGCACAAATACTTGACCGACCTGTTCCAGGAATTAATCCCATCTACCCACCCTGACCTCTTGGTCATCGATAGAGCCCACCGCCTGCGCAGGCCTAACCACCTACCCGCCATTACAGCGAGAGATGTAATTGCACGCATCCATTTCTACCACGTGAAAGAGCGCATTACAAAAGCCTGCAGAAACGCCTCCCTTCCTGAACCATACGCTAACATCAAAGTCTTCGCAGACCTGTCAGCTGCCACACTGCAGTTTAGAAAATCGATGTCCCTGATCACTACCACGCTCCGATCCAACGATATCAGCTACCGATGGGGATATCCGGCTAAGTTGTTGGTGCAGAAGCAGGGGGTGATCCATGCCGTAGCGACGGAAACTGATGGCCTGAAAAAGCTACAGGACTGGGGTATACCGCTGCCTCCGCCTTTGGCGTCCTCACCGGCTAAAGTCCCCAGACTGACGCCGGAATGGACTCCCGCCTAAGGACAGAAGGTCCTCCCGAGTAGGGTATTGTATACCAATGCATGTTATATGTTTTAGAGAGATGCTGATGACACTTATGTTTTATGCGAACTGTCCACTTCGATGCAACGATAGAGCTTAAGGTTAGAACCCGACACTGCCCAATTAGCATGTCCACACCTGTATAGCAGTTGAACAGGGCGCATGGAGAGGCAATAAATAAATAAATAAATAAATAAATAAATAAAAATTGTTTAAAAAATAATAATAATAATAATAATAATAAAAAAAAAAAAAACAAACAAAACAAAAAAAAAAATCCTATGCACGCCTCAAGCGAACTAGTTGTGGTACACCTCGCACCAAGGCATCTACCATGCCTCGCCGTATACGGCGACCCATGGTTACTGAATCTGCCCCACTAAGGCTAGAGTAGTACACTCAGCTTAAAGCCACCACACGTTAAGACTTGAGTACTGATCACTCTAGAGGGGCCCGCGTTGGAGCATCGCAAGCATACACTGAGACGAGCACCTGCCCAAGGCAGGCACCTTACCTAAACACACACTACATACCCCTGCTTGAAGGAGATGTCTTATTGTTTAACATTTTAAGGTTTATATACATGTCTTTTCTTTGTTCTTTTTATGCTCTATGGTCAAGAACCATCCCTCGTTTACTCTACTTCCATGACCAGTGATCGTCCTCATCACTTCTTTAATAGTAGAGCACACCACTGTACGCTTGGGAGTACGCCGCAGCATAGTCATGACCTGTAAAAATGCTGCCTCATTACATCAATGCATCCCAGCAGCCCCGACTGGGCCAGAGTGACTCTATGTACGGTATGGAGACACTCGAAGCCGCCCCCACTTTGTGTGGGTCTGGGAAAACCAGACCACACTGTTGCTCAGACTTGCTGAGCGTTTTCTCACCCGCAGTTGCGGGATTTTTCCTTCCTCCTATAGTTTCCTCCCCCCCCCCATCACCACCCGGCATCACCAATTCCACCAACAAGGACAGGTAGTCCTAGAGTGCATTGCTACGACAAGAGCCGATTACTCTACATAGCTCCATCCACGGGGACACCATCCCACTGGGCCACCACCGCAACAACCTTACACTTAGTCATTTATGAAAATTACGACCCTTAATGTCAAAGGGCTTAATACCCCTGGCAAACGGAGCCTACTACTCAGAGACCTGAAAAAAGAGAGAGTTGACATTGCGTGTGTCCAGGAGACCCATTTTAAGAGGGATCATACTCCGAGTATTTATAACAAATACTACCCGACCCAGTTCCACGCCCTTTCAGATACCAAAACTAAAGGAGTCTCAATTTTCATCCATAAAGACACGTCCCTCACACTCCATAGAAAAATCGTGGATCCTAAGGGCAGGTTTATCGTCCTCGTGGGCATGTTTAATAACACAATGTATACCTTGGCTGCGGCATATTTTCCTAATATAGAACCCAAACGCTACTTACAAACTCTCCTCCTCACCATAGATGAGGTAAGGACAGGAGGACTGATCCTATGTGGAGATTTTAACTTTATTCAACTGCCGACCTTAGACACGACTGCCCGCCCCACGGGTAGGAGGAAATCACATATAGCAGACACATGTACAACTATTGCCAAAGTACTGGCACAACACGGACTCTATGACGCCTGGTGAACATTGCATCCCACACAGGCTGACTACACGTTTCACTCGAAAGTCCACAACACATATACTCGAATTGACACCTTTTTCCTAGACAATGCCACACTAGCGCAATTAAGAGACTGCAGGATAGGGGAAATCACATGGTCAGATCACGGTCCAGTACACCTACACCTACACGATAACTTTCAATTCAGAGGGCGGGGACAGTGGCGACTTAACGAATCGCTCCTGGCGGAGGCCACCTTTCGAGATTCGATCCAGACCGCACTGACGGAATTCTTTCAAACGAACGGGACAGGACAGATCACACACAGCACGGTGTGGTGCGCCCATAAAGCCGTAGTTAGAGGACTTTTTATTAGAAGGTCCTCCTATCTTAAGAGGAGGCACCAGCTCACGCTACTGGATGCTTACAAAACCTTGGCTGAGGTCAGTACAAAAAATAAAGCCCAACCTATGCAAACGTGCTTAAACCAAATAAACGACCTGCAGATGACCATTACTAAACTACAGGCGGAAAGAACGAACGGTCTTCTTCATAGGCTCAGGGCCACCACGTACCACACCTCCGGCAAACCCACCAAACACCTAGCGGCACGGCTCAGGGCTAGATCGACCCAATGTAAAATATCCCACATAATAGACGACGACGGCAAGAAACATATTGACCCACAAACAATCAGTAACACATTTGCAACCTTTTACTCTAACTTATACAATCTCCGCACGGATGACACTAGACCTCACCCTCAACCCTCGGAAACAGCCCAATACCTTGCAGACATTACACTGCCCAAACTGACAGTGGGCCAATGTCAGGCCCTATTACAACCCATTACTGTACAAGAAATCATCAGTACTATTAAGCAACTCCCCCCAGGGAAGTCCCCAGGGGCAGATGGACTCCCCAACGCTTACTATAAAGAGTTCGGAGCCACACTGGCGCCGCAACTCCTAAAAATGTACCAGCAGACGGCCACTACCGGTATCCTGCCTCCTGAAGTATTACTAGCCACGATAGTGACAATCCCCAAACCTGACAAATCCCCAGACCTATGCAAGAACTACAGACCTATTTCCCTACTTAACACGGACGCAAAAATCTATGCAAAAATCCTGGCGAATAGAATGAGCACAATCCTACCACACTTGATACAGGACGACCAGACAGGTTTCGTGAGAGGCAGACAGGGCTTAGACAACACCCGAAAATTGGCCCTGGTGCAAAGGGAGCTCGGGAGGCCTGGTCGAGGGAGCCTCCTCCTAGCGCTGGACGCGGAGAAGGCCTTTGACCGCCTCGGCTGGGTCTTCTTGAAACAGGTTTCTTGAGAAATTTGGGTTCCCCCCACAAATAATCCAACAAATCTTTGCACTCTATTCCTCGCCCGCGGCACAGGTAAATCAAGCAGGTTTCCTGTCCCCCACCTTTCCGATTACCAACGGTACGAGACAGGGGTGCCCCCTATCCCCACTTTTATACGTCCTTGCATTAGAACCCCTCTTACACCGCATACGCTTAAATGAGAATATAAAGGGAATACACCTAGGGGACAAACAGGTTAAGATTAGCGCATTCGCAGATGATGTACTGCTATACATAACAAACCCACAAGACTCCCTACCTACACTGATGCAGATAATACACACCTATGGACAGTTCTCATACTATTTAGTGAATGCGGCCAAAACACAGGCCCTGCCTATATTCATCCCTGCCCAGGTTATACGCACCCTCACACGCACATACGACTTTGACTGGAGGACAGAATCCATACGTAACCTGGGCCTGACGATCACAAAAAACCCTGCGAACCTTATGTCAGCAAATTATGTTGCAGTGTGGAACAAATGCAGTCAACTACTGAAACAATGGTCGCCACTGTACCTGTCCTGGACAGACCGCATCGTGACACTCAAAATGTCAATACTACCGAGGCTACTATACCTCTTTCGCACCATCCCTCTCCGCCTCCCTTCCTCCTACTTTAAGACCATTCAGGCTGATATGGGGAAGTTTGTATGGGCAGGAGGCAAAGCCAGAGTAGCCACCACGGTCTTACAGGCCCCCAAGAAACAAGGTGGGTTAGCACTACCCAATGTCCAAGGCTACTATCATGCGGCAGTACTAGCTACAGCTATCCCCCACATAATCTCTGCACCCAAGCCACAGTGGGTCTCCCTGGAAAGGGACCAACTAGGTAACCACGACATCCTGCACCTACTTTGGACACCGTCGCATCTTAGGCCTGACTTGCCGACAGCTCCCCCCCAGATACTACTGCTGTTTCACATCTGGGATAAGTACAGGCCCAGGTTGGGCAGTACTCCCGGCCTCTCCCTGGCAACCCCCCTAAAGGCCATACCCTACATTATCCCCACATTCAATGCCCTACCGTGGCACCGAAGTGGTGCAACGCATCTTTATCATCTATTTGATGCCCATAAACTACTAGACTACACGACTCTAGCCAGCAAATACACGCTCCCACAGTCCTCGCAGTACTCATACCTCCAATTACACTCCTACATCTCTAATGAAGCGAAACGTTTCTTAGACACCTCTAGAGATGCTAACAGGTTAACTGTATGGGAACAAATGTGTATAACTGCAAGATTGCTACCTCAATGTAAACCGATCTCCATGTGTCTCAGCTCCATATTGAAACACAACCACTTTTCCACCACAAAATATGCTCAACAATGGGAGAGCGATCTAGGCTGCGCAGGGCCACCCATATCCTGGGACTCCCTCATATCCGACCCACTAAAGCTACTAAAATCCACCTCCCACATTGAACAGCATCGCAAAATTCTATACCGGTGGTACTTAGTGCCGGCCAGACTGCACAAGATTTTCCCCTCCACCTCTCCACTTTGTTGGAGATGCCAAGCAGCGGAAGGCACAATGCACCATATATGGTGGAGCTGCCCAAGGCTACTCCCTTATTGGACGGATGTCCACACACTGATCAGAGAAGCCACACAGAGCTCTCCCCCATTTACCCCGCAGACGTGTCTATTGCTGGACCTCCCTAGAGAAATGCCCCCGCACGTCAGAAAGTTGACCTTACACATAGCCTTGACGGCGCAGCAATTGATAGCAAGGAGATGGAAGTCCACGACCCTTCCCAAGAAGGCAAACCTCTTAGAGGAATTGCAAAAGCAGTGGATTTACGAAACCTCCTACACGTCCCTCTTCCGCCCCTCTACGCTCTATAGGAAAACGTGGGAGCTTTGGCAAACATGGAGATCTGGTAAGGTACCGGGTAAAGCACCGGGGGCTGTACCTAGCAAATGAGCTGTCAAGTCCTCAACATCTCCAAGTTGCGTATGCTTACGCACACTCCCACAGCCACTCGTGGGACGCTGATGCTGATGTTGATATGTTGTTAGATATAGAGTGACACGCTACAGTGGGGACATATCGCCATTGTCGTTCCGTATTGAAAATAATGTGGATTTACTGTTACTGTAACAAAAAAAAAACTTGTCTGTATCAACCTGTGATGCCCCCCCCCCCCCTTCCTCCCTCTGTTATGTACCCTCCCCCGGTATAAGGAGCAACTGTACAAATCTACACTTATTAATTATTATCCCATTCCTTTCTGTACCCTGAATACGTTGCTTACTGACAAAATAAATAAAAATTGTCAAATTTAAAAAAAATAAAAATTTAAGATGGCCAGAGACAAGAGGTCACATCTAACTCTCTGTATCCAGTGGCGTACTAAGGGGGGGGCGGGGGGGCGGTCCGCCCCGGGTGCCAGCCGGGTGGGTGTGGCCAGCTCCCCAGCTGCAGCCGCCCGAGCGCTCTGTATTGAGCCTCAGGCGGCTGCAGCTTTGCCTGGGTGGTGCGTCCATGAGGAGAGGGGCTGACAGGAGGGAACGCTCCTGTCAGCTCCCTCACTGCAGCATGGTCCGACGGGTACAGAGAGCAGCTGTCTCCTGTACCCGGCCGGACTAACAGGAAGGGAACACTGAGTGTGCACTTCCTGTTAGTCCGGCCGGGTACAGGAAACAAAAGCTCCCTGTACCCGTGGACTATACAGGGCTCGGCCACGCTACAGGGAGGTAGGGGGGAGGGGAGAAAGAAGGGGGAGAGGGAGGGGGTGGAAAGAAGGGGTGAGAGAGAGAATAGGGGTGAGAGAGAGAAATAAGGGGTGTGAGAAGAGAAATAAAGGGTAGAGAGGGTGAGAAAACAGGGGGTGAGAAAGAAATAAGGGGAAAGAGAAATAAGGGGTGAGAAAGAGAAACAAGTGGGGAAAGAGAAATAAGGGGGTGAGAAAGAGAAATAAGGGGTGAGAAAGAGAAATAAGGGGGGAGAAAGAGAAATAAGGGGGTGAGAAAGAGAAACAAGGGGGTGAGAAAGAGAAATAAGCAAGAGAAAGAGAAAGATAAGGGGGTGAGGAAAGAGAACAGGGGGTGAGAAAAGAGAGATAAGGGGGTGAGAAAGAGAGAAAGGGGGTGAGAGAGAGGATAAGAAGAGAGAGAGAGATAAGGGGGGTGAGAGAGAAAAGGGGGGGTGAGAGAGAAAAGGGGGGTGGGTGAGAAAGAAAAAGAAGGTGGGTGAGAGAGAAAGGAGCGGGGGTGAGAGAGAAATTAGGAGGGGGGTGAGAAAGAGAAATTGGGAGGAGGAGAAGGAAATTGGAGCGGGAGGAGAGATTGACATTCATCACATACACACAATGCACCCCTTGCACACAGAAAAACACACAGACACACATACACAAGCAATGCAACCGTTACACACAATGCATCCCTTACACACACAGAAACACACAATGCATTCATTACACACACTCAATGCACCCCTTACACACATTCAATGCATCCCATACATACACAGAAACACACCTTGCAGTCCTTACACATACAAACACAATTTCACACAATGCATTCCTTACACACATATCAGGACATCCCCTACACACTCCACCCCCTGTGAACAAACTCATTGGTGGAACATGAAGGTGGACCCTGGGACCCAGACCTTGAGCTGTGTAAAGGACCCCCAAAAAATGGAGCTGCTTCCCGTTCTCCCAGAACATTGATTTTTGTGACCACAGTTACAAACCGCCTCCAGAGAGCCTGTTCTGCACCAGACCAGTGGAGCCAGACTGCAGCTAAAGCCCATCATCATCCTCATCTGGTTGTAAGTAGGCAATCTAGTATATTATTCGTGGCACTAAGCTCTAATTTACCTCACATTAAAGAAACACTATAGTCCCCAGAACCACTTCAGCTTAATGTAGTGGTTCTGGTGTCTATAGCCTGTCCCTGCAGGCCTTTTAATGTAAACACGGCGGCACTGCAGCACTGGCGTTAGTTAACATGGCAAATCATATGGCTGGGGCATTGTGATGTCACATGGGGGGCGGCAAACTTTACTTTTGCCTAGGGCGGCAAAAATCCTTGTACCGGCCCTGGCTGGAGGGGGCTGTGTGAGCTGTGGCCGCACAGTGTCCCATGGTAGTTAGGGTGCCGTGCGGCCAGTACAGCTCACTCAAGCAAACAGCTGATAAACTGGCCGCACGGAGGAAATGTGTATGTGTGACTGTCTGCCTGTGACTGTGTGTGACTGTCTGCCTGTAACTGAGTGTGTGACTGTCTGTCTGTAACTGAGTGTGTGACTGTCTGCCTGTAAATGTGTGTGTGGGGCTGCAGGGATTTTGTAGAAGGGGGTGGGGGTTTTGTATTGGGACAGGAGTCTTTATAAGGGGGGATAAGCAGGGGATTTGTGGAAGGGGGTTGCGGGGGTTTTGTAGATGGGGCAGTACAGGATTTGTAGAAGGGGCAGGACAGAGGTCTTGTAGGAGGGGCAGGGCAGGACAAGGGTTTTGTAGGAGGGGCTGTCAGCGGTTTTGCAAAGTTTACAAATTGTAAAAATAAAAGAAATAAAACCTTTAACATTTTTTACAGGTTTTTTCTTTTTTGGGGGGGGGGGTGCCAAGCACAGGATCCGCCCCGGGTGCCAAATGCTCTAGGTACGCCCCTGTCTGTATCTTTTCTAAATTCTGGAACTTTGAAAATCTAACACATTGTCTTTTCCAACTGAATCTGGAAACCTTTAATATACAGAACTCTTGAATCTCCTATTTCCACAATTCTCTACTCATATTGGCATACACCATTAATGGAATATGTCTCCAAGCCTAAAGAATTTCTACCAAGAAAGCTGGTAAATATGCTAGTTTTATTTAATGAAATTTAAATTAATTATTTTTCACTAAAAGCAGAAATATACCTGGATAAGGCTGGACAAATTTCAAACCTTTGAAATTATAATTAGCTGAGGAAATATATGGTTCCCCATTCCATTCCTGCAGGTGGAATGCTGTGAAAAGTTCTGTGTTAAGTTGAAGGGTTCCTGTTAAAATTGCATTAATGTGGATATAACTGATTATTGAATTCTAGAGGAAGTATTTGTAATTATGCATGTTAAAGGACACTGTAAGTATTGTAACAGATTATGTCGTGAGTCCACTGGTTCTTCTATTCAATGATAAATTGTTTTTCATGTATAATGCTAAACCAGATTCAAATCATAGCTGTACTTCTATGCATCATGGTAAATCATTGTGTATATATAATGCTTGAATATGGTCATGGTGAGCAGAGTATATTCTGAACATTTTCGAGGGTGGAGCGGTCTGACCTACCCAAATTTAGACCCCTAGCTACACTCTGGAGCCACCTTTACATTCAATATGGGGCTCAAAACCAATTCAATTCATCTTTTTGCAATCTGACTCAAGTAATTTTAGCACTCACAACACCCTTGCAACCCATGGGTACACTTAATATTTTTATTTTCTCAAGCAGTTTGAATGGCACTACTGTTTTTACTCCCCCTTTCCTTTTATTGATTATTCTTTTCCCAGTAAAATTCAATAAAAGCTGAGAGTAAAACCTAATGAAATATGCTGCACACTCTACAGTCTCAGAAGAGACCTGTTATTTCCTTAAATATGTTTTGACATTTAGTTATACAAGAAAGGGACTATTTGTTATGTGCTGCCATGTTCATAAATAGTTACCGTGGCAGAGTTTAGTGCCAATATGTAGAGAGTGCATTATAAACTTCCTGCCAAAAAACACTGGATTCTTTGAGGATATGCAGTACAGTGAGTGGACAGGATAGCTCAACACTTCCCAGCAATGAGCTTATAAGGGGCATTAAATCAATTCCCTTAGCCAATATAGTTATGTGCATAAATAAACTAAATATAAAAAGCTTTTCAATTTCTCTTGTTCTTTTTTCCACTACAACCATTTATTATTAGGCAAAAGGACACTTTTCATATTTTAATTCTACAAAGTGGAAAGTATAACGCACAGTAGAAAAACACAAAGCGTGCTCACTGAAAGGTTCTCTTTTCTCTTTTAAATTTTGCAATTGTTTTAGTGAGATACGTATGAGTGTTAGCAAGATTGTCAATATGACTGCAGCCAGCTGCATGTATGCATGCCTGGAAGAGTCTTTACCTCTGTGGCAAATGTGAGTAAGTGGAAGCTCTCTGGAAACTCAGATTGCAAATCTGTAGAAGCAAATTGCAACACTTAGGCCAGGGACAGGAAACCGTCGGCGCTCCAGATGTTGTGTAATACGTTCCCCAAAATGCTCTTTTACACCCTTAATGCTGTCAAAGAATGATGTGAGGTGTAGTCCAAAACATCTGGAATGCCGAAGCTTGCCTATGCCTGACTTAGGCCAATTGAAACTTTGAAAAGGGCTTACTGCTCATTGGGGCAGAGTTTTGTGGGGGCAGGTAGTGGAGTGGGAGGAGATGAGCCAGCTGGGGAACAGGCACGTACCTGACTGACCGATGGGCAAGGTAGTAGTAGGGAAGAAACCTGTTGCCAGTCCTGATTTTGTACACCCCAGCAGATTTCCCAGCTTGAGAGATGATGTTGGGAGTACAAGCTCAGGAGTGATGTGCTGGAGGATGTTGCTGCTACTAACATCAGGGAGAATAGCTTCTCGAGTATAGATGGGATCCAGAATTGAACACCAACATACTGTGGACATACATTTCCACATTACACTTCCTTGTATAAGCCAACCAACACCACAAATTTCAAACATCAACAAACAATAATATTTAGATAAATACATCCCTAAACACCCAACTCCTTAAGAAGAAGAAAGCCTAGATACTCCTTTCACATATCAGGAACTACAGGATTCAGTAAAAGCGGCGCCATGTCACAAAAGCTCCCTAGGACTGGATGGACATGCAATAAATACTTTAAAAATGTTCTTTCCCCAATTAGGTGGACATATGTTAAATGCATTTACCTTTAGCCCTAAGGCACTTGAAGCCACGATCACCTTAATCGCAAAACCGAACAAAGACCATTCTTTATGTGGGAACTAAAAGCCTATCTCGTTAATCAATAGTGACGTTAAAATATTTGCACACATGCTAGCTATGAACCTTAGACAATTTACTTGGAATAGTCCACCTTGATCCGACCGGATTTGTCCCACATGGGGAAGCAAAAGACAACACCACCTTGAATATGTGGTGCAATTTTGGGCACCAGTTTAACCCCTTAAGGACACATGACATGTGTGACATGTCATGATTCCCTTTTATTCCAGAAGTTTGGTCCTTAAGGGGTTAAAGAAAGGTATTGCAGAACTAGAAAAAGTGCAGAGGGGAGTTACACAATTAGTAAGGGGGATGGAAACATGTTTTTTTACAACAGAGTTTTTATAGATATAATTGTTATGTATGTAAACAGGTTGTTGATCTAAGGAGAAATCTGATTGCCATTATGGAGTCAAGAAGAAATTATACCCTTTTTGTGGCATAATTGGAAATGGATACAATTGTTTTTATGCCTTCTTTTGGATCAACAGCATCAAAGAATTGGCTTCAGGATTGAACTTGCTGGGTGTTAGTCTTCTTAAAAGCTAGATAACAATGTAAAACTATGTAAATAGATACAAACAACCTAAGGTATTAAACCAGTCTCCTACCTGCTAACAAAGATTAATATGTGTGCATATGGGTACAAAATCATACACCATGATGTATACAAACTGCCTGCAAAGAAGAGATGGGGGCTCTAGTGTTAATGGTGCTCTGATTGTTCCTGTATTGTAGATAATGTTTGCAGGAAGAAGTATATTTCCATTAGGTTACCTTTCAACATTAAGAGTATCAATATTGTCTTCATTTATTAACTTTGACACATCCTTGACTTCATAGTCTTTCTTTAAGTGAATCTGGGACAGTTGCTCTGCACTTGTTGTTCTCCAATCCTAGAAAAAAAAAAAAACATGCAACGCATCAAAAATAAGCAATTAGCACTAAATTTCTCTTTGGATTTTTACATTAATTTTAACAAAACCTCAGTAAAAAAAAAAAAAAAAAAAATTCAGTAAAGCTTGCATGATTTTAGGTATTCTTGTGTAGAGATCTAAAAAACGTTCATGCTTTTTTTTTTGTAAATTCTTTATTTTTCGTTCTTGTTATGTTTCAACTAGGGGTACAGAATAAAAAAAAAAAAGGGGGGAGGATACAGTTTTAATATGGCACATCGATGAAGTACAGTTCCAAAGGCTTAGGTTCTGTCTGTATTGGGGTAAGCTCAAGATCTGTGCTATGCTTTTGTTATTTTGCCGTCGTATTTATGAAATCTCGTACTATACATGTGGTTGGGTACACCTTTAGACATGGTGGTTGTGGTGAAGTTCCTCTTGGTAGGTGGGCCAATGTATTGTTCTAATAGTGTTTGTGGTGGTGTTGGGGTTGTGGACTGATGGATTTCATTTGGGGATTGAGGGGGGAGGAGGGAGTGTGGTACTATGCGATGGGCACCCATTAGTATCTTTGTTGTGAGTGGATAGGGTTACCCGGATATTCTCGGGGTGGTTCCTCCCTCCATGTTAGGAGTTGTGCTGAGTGTTTGTGGGTTATCGTTTTTTGTCGTGGTAAGTTGGTTTTTGGTGTCTCATTCTGACTGGGATGGCGGTCACTTGATTGCGTCTCGTGCTAGTATTGAGTGCATTGGATATGTGAGGTTAGAAGTAGGATCTGGTATGTGTTTGGTGTAGGGGGTAGGGAGGGAGGCAGGGATAGGGGAGGTATTAGGCTGGTAGGTATGGGGGATGTGGGTGTTGGGTGGAAAACTGGGGAAAGCGGAGAGGTTGATGAAGTGGGAGGTAACGGTAGGGTTTTTCTCCGGGGGCGGCCGCACCCCGCTGGTCCTCAGGTGGGGTCCACAGGTGGGGGTTGTGCTTACAGCCCAACACCGTGCAGGACGTTTGGCATTTGCCAGAGAACACCAAGATTGGCAAATTCGCCACTGGCGCCCTGTGCTCTTCACAGATGAAAGCAGGTTCACACTGAGCACATGTGACAGACGTGACAGAGTCTGGAGACACCGTGGAGAACGTTCTGCTGCCTGCAACATCCTCCAGCATTAACGGTTTGGCAGTGGGTCAGTAATGGTGTGGAGTGGCATTTCTTTGGGAGGCCGCACAGCCCTCCATGTGCTCACCAGAGGTAGTCTGACTGCCATTAGGTACCGAGATGAGATCCTCAGACCCCTTGTGAGACCATATGCTGGTGCGGTTGGCCTTAGGTTCCTCCTAATGCAAGACCTCATGTGGCTGGAGTGTGTCAGCATTTCCTGCAAGACGAAGGCATTGATGCTATGGACTGGCCCACCCGTTCCCCAGACCTGAATCCAATTGAGCACATCTGGGACATCATGTCTCGCTCCATCCACCAACGTCACGTTGCACCACAGACTGTCTGCGTTCCTGGCTTCGGCAGGCCCCGGGGTGGTAGTGTTGGGTTCAGCGGGGCACCCCTGACGTGGGTGGTGCACCCTCGGATAGTTTTGGGCTGGATAACCGTCGCTTATTGCCCAGTATTCTGGCCGCTGGGCCGGAGCTTGTGTCGGATGCGTCCATGCAGCTTGGCGGTCAGACTCCGCCCCCCCAGCCCTTTCTCTTTTTAATTTTATTATAACTTTTTATATATAGTTTGTAACAGTGTGCAGTCTCTAATATTTATATTCTTAGACAATACACGGTATACATATTATGCCCCTATTGCTATAATAATTTGTGTATCAAATCAAAATTTACATTTTGCATTAGCATCAAAATAGGCGGTCACATATAATAACCAACCTTCACACACACATCATGACAACAAAACACAAAAAAAAAAAACATTAAAACAGACTGCTTATCTCTAAAATGGGATGGGATTGCATTTATCTAAATTTCCATAAAAAGTTGTTATGCTGAAACTTAAACTTTCAAGCTTGCTATTGTTAATAATGTCCGGGGATATGAACCATAAAGAAGAAATTATATCTGCTACAAAAATATGATATACTTTTTAAAATATTTCCATTAGATCACTACCATATCATATTCAAAATATTTTCTTAACTCCACCAAATATTTTACTGAGTTACCCATTCTCACTCTTAGTGATATGAGTGAGAATTATTATTATTATTATTATTATTGCCATTTATATAGCGCCAACAGATTCCGTAGCACTTTACAATATTATGAAAGGGGATTTAACTATAAATAGGACAATTACAAATAAACTTACAGGAACAATAGGTTGAAGAGGACCCTGCTCAATCCAGCTTACATTCTATAGGAGGTGGGGTGTAAAACACATTAGGACAGGAATGTGCAATCAAATAAGGTGGGCTGCCCTTTAGGAGAGGGCAAGAGACGGGTATGTGAGGTAGGGGTTAGTCTTGGAGGCCATAAGCTTTCCTAAAGAGATGGGTTTTAAGGCACTTCTTAAAAGATGCAAGACTAGGGGAGAGTCGGATGGCGGTAGGCAGGCTATTCCATAGGAAGGGAGCCGCCCGCGAGAAGTCCTGCAAGCGCGAGTTGGCCGTACGGGTGCGGACAGCGGACAGGAGGTGGTCACGGGCAGAGCGGAGAGACAGAGAAGGGACATACCTGTGGATCAGTGAGGAGATATAAGAGGGGCCAGGGCCGCCATCAGAAATTTTGGGGCCCCTAACACAGCTCAAGGTCTGGGCCCCCCTTCAAGCCTGCCTCCAAATCCCGCCCACAGGAATACACACACACTAACAGATACAAATACTGAAACAGACATACACACATGCATAGGGAGATGCTGAGACAAACACACATATACAAGCAGACATACATACTGACAAACATACATATACATACTGCATATTGATATATACATACATACCGACAGGCATACATACATACATACATACAGACACACACAGGCATGCATACAGACACACACTGGCATACATACACACATACACTGGCATACATGGGCATACACACACATGCACTGGCATACACACACTGGCATACACACACACACACACATACACTGGCATTCATACATACACATACACTGGCATACATACACTGGCATTCATACACACATACACTGGCATACACACACTGGCATACACACTGGCACACACATACACTGGCATACACAATGGCATACATACACATACACTGGCATTCAGACACTGGCATACACACACACATACACTGGCATTCAGACACTGGCATACACACACATACACTGGCATTCATACACCAGCATACACACACACATACACTGGCATTCATACACACATACACTGGCATACACACACTGGCATACACACACTGGCAGTCAGACACACATACACTGGCATACACACACTGGCATACACACACTGGCATTCAGACACACATACACTGGCATTCAGACACTGGCATACACACACATACACTGGCATTCATACACCAGCATACACACACACATACACTGGCATACAAACACTGGCATTCATACACTGGCATACACACACATACACTGGCATTCATACACCAGCATACACACACATACACTGGCATTCATACACTGGCATTCAGACACACATTCACTGGCATTCATACACCAGCATACACACACACATACACTGACATACACACACTGGCATTCATACACACATACACTGGCACACACATACACTGGCATACACAATGGCATACACACACTGGCATTCATACACTGGCATTCAGACACTGGCATACACAGACATACACTGGCATTCATACACCAGCATACACACACACATACACTGGCATACACACACTGGCATTCATACACTGGCATTCAGACACACATACACTGGCATTCAGACACTGGCATACACACACATACACTGGCATTCATACACCAGCATACACACACACATACACTGGCATACACACACTGGCATTCATACACACATACACTGGCATACACACACTGGCACACACATACACTGGCATACACACACTGGCATTCAGACACGGGCATACACACACATACACTGGCATTCATACACCAGCATACACACACACATACACTGGCATACACACACTGGCATTCATACACACATACACTGGCATACACACACTGGCACACACATACACTGGCATTCAGACACTGGCATTCAGACACTGGCATACACACACCAGCATACACACACACATACACTGGCATTCAGACACACATACACTGGCATTCAGACACTGGCATACACACACCAGCATACACACACACATACACTGGCATTCAGACACACATACACTGGCATTCAGACACTGGCATACACACACACATACACTGGCATACACACATACACTTCATCCCCAGCCACCCTCCTCTCTTCCTTACCATTTCGTCGCAGGAGGGTGGCTGGGGATGATGGGCATCGGCTGCCTCTCCTCATGCTGCGTCCTCCTTCCCGCGCGGAGTAAAGTGGGAGGAAGTGACCGGACGTCACTTCCTCCCAGCAGCACTTGCTTCCGGCTGCATTTTTTTTTTTAAAGGGGCCCGGTCGCGCTATTACAGCGCTAAATGGGCCCCTGAAGATAATAGGGCCCATTGGGTGGCCCTAAATGATTAGGGCCACCTGATGGGCCCCATCAGCGTGTGGGCCCCGGTGCAGATGCACCGGCGGCAGTTCCGCTGATCCACGTGGGGCCCGGGCGGCCGGGCCCCCCAGGGCCGCCGGGCCCGTGACAATTGTCACGGTTGTCATGCCCTGATGGCGGCCCTGAGAGGGGCTAGAGTTGTTCAGTGCTTTATAGGTGTGAGTTAGTGCCTTGAATTGACTCCTATAGCATACAGGAAGCCAATGTAAGGACTGGCAGAGGGGTGAGGTGTGAGAGAACCGACTAGAGAGGAAAATCAGTCTAGCAGCAGCATTCATTACAGACTGTAGGGGTGCAGTACGGCTTTTGGGAAGACCAAACAGGAGAGGGTTACAATAATCCATGCGTGAAATTATTAGAGCATGGACAAGCTCCTTGGTAGTATCTGGTGCAAGAAAGGGGCGGATGCGGGCTATGTTTTTAAGATGGAATCTACAGGATTTGGCAACATGCTGGATGTGAGGCTCAAAGGTGAGACCAGAGTCAAGTATGACGCCAAGACAGCGCGCTTGCAAGGATGGGCTGATGTTGGTACCACAAACTTGAAGGGAGAGCGAAAGAGGAGGATCAGTATTAGGAGGAGGAAAGACAAGGAGCTCAGTTTTTGAGAGATTGAGTTTCAGAAAGCGGGAGGACATCCAGTCAGAGATGGAAGAAAGGCAAGCAGTGACACGTTGCAGGACAGCAGGGGAGAGGTCCGGGGAGGAGAGATATAGCTGGGTGTCATCAGCGTACAGGTGGTAGTGGAAACCAAATGAGGTAATAAGTTTGCCAAGAGAGGCAGTGTAAAGAGAAAATAGAAGGGGACCAAGGACGGAGCCTTGGGGGACTCCAACCGAGACAGGGCGAGGGGAGGAGGGATCATTAGAAA